GAAAACATAGAAAATTCTCGTTCCACTAACAAAGCCCTAGAGGTAGTAATTAAGCTGTTAACACTAAACACAGTCTACCCCTTCAGCTTTCTAATCAAAATTCCACGAAAGCTTCCTAACCATTGAAACGATTCATGCAATTGACAATCGTCTTCTAACCTAACAAGATGCATACCGAATTCTTAATTGGAATCATAGCTTCATATTCTTTTCCCAGCAAGTCTTCAATTAATGTAATGGAAGACATGAGTTTCCTAAGCATTGGCTCTGCCTAGAGAGGAATTACTTGGGGTTTAAACTTTCTTCTTTATTTGCTAAGTTCAATGGCTAATTCTCCTAGAGGGTTAAAGCAGAAACTTCCAATAGAGGAAGCAGCACCCCTAACTCCTAAGATTTAAAAAAGTTTTGATTTTGCTTCCACAGTTTGGAACTTGAAGATTAAATAGATTTACAGCCAAGCAGTGAATCCACTAAACCATAATGAAAGTTCAAAATCCATAGCTCATCCTGGTTGTTGAGCATATAGCCATTAACGTGCAATCCAACTATCAGCTTAGGCTTTTAGTTGTCATGGGGTTCGAATATCAGCGCCTCCCATAAGCGACTGACATACTAGTCTAGTTGCTCATTCCTAACTAACAGACTCGAATCAAGAAGGCGCAAACTTATAACCTTATGGTTATCCAGTTGACAAACTAACCAATTTAGCTGAGTTTGCCATGTTTACTTGATCCTCCATGAAATTGATGGACTAACTGAACTTAGAAATATGGGAGAAATGAAGTAAAGAAGCTCACCAATTCCCAGAAACACCATCAACCAAACCATTAATTCTGTCACCAGTGATGCAGCCAGCACTCATAACCTCCTCAGCAACATCCATATCAATGGCCTCCAAAGCAGCCAAAGCATTGCTCTGTATCTGAATTGGACCTCTGTACTGACCCTCCCCTCTGATAGCACTCAAATCCTTCTCAAAAACCACCACCTCAAACCCCTTCTTCTTCGCCGCCAACGCGAAAACCAGACCTCCAATCCCACCGCCGGCCACCAGTATCTTCAGATTCCTCTTTGATGCTTTAGAATCCCCATCAGCCACGCCGGAAGTCGCCACCTTTGCCGGCTCGGCAGCCAGTGTAGCCTTCACTCTCGCCACCCTCTTTGCATGCCCAGTTTCTTGGGTTCTTAAACAGCACCCACCGTGCACAGAAGGACAAAACTCTGCTGCAAATTCTCTATGCACCAAAAATGGAAACTGGGTTCTTGAAAACAATACACTTGAGGTATGAATTGAACTGTACAGCACAGATGAACTCATTTTCCCTGGAGAAAGAAACCCCCCAAGTTTCGATCTTTCCCGGGTATAAATGCTCTGAGAGTCACTAAATTAAAGAATCCAATCAGAGACAGGTGACTAGGAATTGGAATTTGGGACTCATAGTACTGTGTCTTGAATTTGGGTTTATTAAGGTAATCTGGTAATGAATGAGAAGAAACTGGGAAAGGAGGGGAAGTGGGGCAGAGTTATGAGAGAGAAGGTGGGTTAAGCAATCCATCGGACATCGGTGGTGGATGCTGCGCCAATGGTGGAGATTCCATGGCCAGGTGGCAAGCGCATGTTGATCCCCTGGTTTAACTCAGCTCACAAATTTGAAAAAAAAAAAAAAAAAAAAAAAAAAAAGGAAAAAAAAAATGCTGGAAGATATTTGTTCATTCATGGAGTTTACTTGTGGTCGTTGTTTGTGGCATATGATAATGCATTATTTGTTTTATAATATACAAAAATCAATAATTTAAAAGGGAAACGGAAACGGCAGTGGCCATAAGAAAAGAGAAAGAGCACATGAAGGAAAGAGACCGTAGTGAAGGTAAAACGGATTAAACTAGGTGTATATGCCACAACTAAATATTATTAAAAATCAAAATTTAATCTACACATATAACTCAATTAATTTTTTAATGATAAATTATAAAGAATAATATATGATTAAGTCTTAAGAGTTTGATATGTGACACAATTGATTTAGTCGGTAATCAAATCGTCACATAAGTCTTTTTAATGCAGAAAATCGACATAATTCTTTATCCCATATGTAACATATGTAATTATGTTCGGCTGTGACTCTAATTTCTCAATAATTTGCTGGTATATTGCTTCGTGGTGTGATTGGGTATTTTTGTTATTTATAAAACTTGGTGGAGTTGGGGGTTGCCATTTGCCAAACGGATATGATAAAATATTCATAGTGCAAATTGCAAATGGTGCAATTGCCATCTATCACTGGTAAAGTGGTAAACCGCATTAAAACTTAAATAATGCATATATATAATTATAGTGCGGGTTTGCGGTTTCTATGACGTAAAGAGTTGTTTGGAGCACACATTTAGATAATAGATACAAAAAGTATTTATTGTAAAGTGTTAAGATTACAATAAAGACAATAAAATATACATATATCTGTGTGTGTGTCAACTTCATCTCGTAATTATTCTCTGAAAAAATAGTGAGCAATTAGGACTCTTTGATCAAGTCTGCCCGTTATGCTCAGTCCCGAGACTGAGCCATAGCCATCTAAGGTCGAGTGCTAGCTAGGCTCGGACTTGAGGCCTCAAGGCCAACCATGGAGCTGGCCTTGGGTGCTGACCCAGGTTGCCTTGACCCATCTTAAAAGAATAAAAGGAATAAAAGCATTACAAAAATTTGACAAATTATATTGTAGACTCGGGTCCAAAATCCGCGTCTGGAATAATTGTGTCGTCAGTGGCACTGTTTTCTCAGTCAATGATTTTTTTTATTTTTTTTTGTGAATATATAGTTTAAAAATTGTGTTATACTGTTGAATATAAAGTTCTGTAATTGTGAATATAAAGTTATGTAATTGTATAAAGTTTTGTAATTGTGAATATTGAGTTCTGTAATTTTGTATATTGAGATCTAAAATTGTGAATTTTCAATTCTAAAATTGTGAATATAGAGTTCAAAAATTATGAATATAGATAAATAAATTATGAAGACACACGGCAAGTTAACGACAAAGAATGAAGTAATTTTTTTTTTTTAATTCAAACGATGTCGTTTTGCTTCCACCTTACAAGGTCGACACGGGTCCATGGCATAACAATTGCAAAAATCTCTTACCTAGCTAACATCTTATGTCAAATGGACAGTGTGCTGTGGCTTCAAAATTTTGGGATCAAATTTATTGTTGCCACTCAATTATCAGGCAGCATGACCTGGCACAAATTCAGCCAGTAATATTAAACCATTCAACAATATTACTCGGAAAATTTCTCTTTTTCATATTTTTGTATTTTTGTGTAACTGAGACATTATTCCCAGTGAAACTGATCACATCATTGTCTTCCATTTCTTTTTCAGATTAGTGCTGCCTAGAATCTGTTAATAAAAAATATGGTCTTTTTTATTGGTGGAGAAAAAGAATAGTAGCAACCCAAATTAGTGGCAAATAAGCAAATTAAGGTGATGGAAATATCTTGGATTCTCCTAAATTACCCTGTGGACCTTAAGTAGACACGCAGCATCAATAATGTAATTTCTTCTTCCAAAAGGCTGAACCCCAACCCTAAGGGCTCTCCATACCCCGACCCGACAGAACATGAACCACAGAAGGGCTCTTCACACCCCGACCCGACAGAACATGAACCACAGAGGCTAGACCGGTGCTCACTGCGCACAAGGAGCCCCCCTCACTTTGAGAGGTTGCTCCCACACTACCGCTGGTGAGACTCGATCTTTGATCATTCTTTCAAAGTTTCACCTCTATAACCAGTTGAGCTACCCATGCGAGTATAATGTAATTTCTTGCTTTTATAGATTTTGGTTTTTTTTTTTTTGTTTTTTTTATTTTTTTATTTAATACATAGTGACGGTTTTGATGGATTCGATTAACCATAAATTTGAAAATGTTGAGAAATTATGACAAAAAGGATAATATTATATTTGCAAGGCCAAACCATTTAAATATTGCAATTGGGCTACATTCAAACCAGATAAGAATAATTGAGTACAAACATACTCAATCGTTGAAATGTTAAAGCCAACTAGTTGAATGCCTTATACATTTCTCTAACGATCTAACCAATGAAGAAGTTATATGAAAAAGACTAATTTATGAATAACTATTATAAGTAAAGGTGACGAGTATTAAATTGAGAAGACCATCCCTTTTATATTGTTTGTGAGGTTGCAAGTCATGGCTAATTAATGGACCATGATGCTTACGAGGTTCCAAACACACACATGTTCTTGTTAGTCGCTAGAGTATCCCGCTAAGTCACTAACTGCATACCACATTACAAAACAAAACTCAAAAACCCATCAATTGCCAAATGTCCCTTTCCAACTTTCTTGCGATCGACTGTGATCGGTCAAGGTCAACTATGCTTCACTAAGCTTGGCTAGTGACTAGTCGATTGGACTAGGGGCAAGACCACCCTAGGTATCTCACCCCAAATCACGGTCGATAGCTACTAATCAATCTCCACTTCCCGACCTTATTAACTCTAGGCTCATACCACATTCCTCCATCACATGAAATATATTTAATTAGGAAAAAAATTATAGATGACTTATAATATTTTTTATTAAAAAACTTTATAATATAAATATTAAATTAATCATTTATCTATACTTTATCAAACCTAATACAATATTACAATGATAAATAACATTTGTTTGCTAAGCATAAACAATCAGCGCCCATGGCCTAATGGATAAGGCGCTTGACTTCTAATCAAGCGATTGTGGGTTCGAGTCCCACTGGGCGTGTTACCTTTTTTGCTGCCAAACTTACATATATTTTAAGATATAAAATTTTGTTTGCTAAAATTATCAATCAGCGCCCATGGCCTAATGGATAAGGCGCTTGACTTCTAATCAAGCGATTGTGGGTTCGAGTCCCACTGGGCGTGTTACCTTTTTTGCTGCCAAATACATATATTTTAAGATATAAATTTTTGTTTGCTAAAGTTATCAATCAGCGCCCATGGCCTAATGGATAAGGCGCTTGACTTCTAATCAAGTGAATTGTGGGTTCGAGTCTCACTGGGCGTGATTTTTTGTTTTCCCAAGCCTGTTCTACCCCACTATTTGTTTGTTTTTGGGCCTTTGTCTCTGTTGAAAATAACACCTCTAAAATTTCAGCCAACCCAGCCCAACAATGCCGTAATCGAAGCCCCAGCCTATATCAAGCAAGCAAGACGACAAATTGTGGCACCGTGGACCAGGTTTAACAAATGTGACATTGAGATTGCACTTAGTAAATTTTGACAAAAATTTAAGAACTATTATGTTCATTTTACAAGTCAATAAATGATATGTGGGATGGACTCAACCAACTCATAAACTATTATGTTCATAATTTGGATGTGGTAAAGAATAAGATATATGAGCTATTTTTTTACTATGAGGCAAGTTCAACTACAACTTCAAGTATGTCAATGAATGCATCTTCTTCACATGTTTAAGCACGTCAAATCAATTACTTTGGTGTAAGTATTTTAAATTTTATTGAATATGCTTTTGTGTTTTAATTGTGACTTGTGCAATTGTATAGGAGTATACTGATTTTTTTTTTTTTTTTAGTGAAATGATTGTGCTATTAAAAAATTTGAGCTAGATATATATTTAGAAGAGGGGAGCTAGACCCTAAGTCTCACATGAACTTAGATGTTTTTACAACATTGGAAAGAACATCAAGTTAGACTTTCATGTCGATCCAAAATGACCGCTTGTAATGTATTGAGTACTCCAATCACTACAATTGCTAGTGAAAGTTCATTTAGCATTGGCTCAATAGTTTTGACCAAGTATAGATGCTCCCTCCTCTCAAAAAATGTTCAAGCATTCATTTGCTCTCGCAATATTGGTTGCAAGGATTTGCGTATGAAGGTATTAATGTATTATTATTATTTAATCCTTATTTATTAGTTAATATGAATTACATTTCTAATGATTTATTTTATAAATTTATGGAGATGATGAAGATATTGATATCGATGAATCAATTGATAACAACGCTTCTAATGTTTTTGGGAATGTTGATTGTACTTTCAAGTTTAAAGGTATTTTAGAGTTTAAATTTTTAAGATTTGTATATTCAATTATCGATTTATTGTTAGTTTTACTATTGGGAAATGATGAATGCGAATGAAGAATTGTTTTGTTGAATTGTAGTTACTAATGTTTATGGACTTTTGGATCTAAATTATGTTTGAGTGTTTGGCTTGTTTTGGACTTTTGATTAAGTGGAACTTTAAAACTTTGAATGTTGATTGTTGAGTATTGTATGATTGTGTACGTTGAAAGCTTTAAAATTTGAATTGAATGTTTTATGTTGTGTTGAAACTTGGAAGGAATGGGACATCCATATCTTAATTGTTTATGTACTAATTTTGTCATTTTTGTTCAATTGTGTAAATATTTAATTTGTGTAGAATTTATTAATTTAATGTACTAACTACTAATTTTGTTTCCTCAAAACTACTAATTTTGTTTGATAATTGATATAAATTATTATATTATTATTTTGGTATAAATTAGAATATTAGGTTACTACATAATGTCCACAATCATTAAAATTTACAACAATATTATTATTTTACAAAATTACAATTTGTAAGTGTGATAGTGTGCATTTAAGGCTTTTAAGCCATTTAGTAATTCTAAATTTTAATAAATATTTTTAAAAATTTTAGTATGGGCTGACGAGCTAGTTCGTTAGCCCGTCCAACTATGGATTGTGTTGAGATTTTCTCAACTTTTGTAAAAATAGGCCAATTCAGTCTGTTTATGGATAAACTCGAGGCTGGTCAGTTCGTATATGTCCGCTTGACTCGTATTGACAGCTCTACAGAGAGTGGATCAGACTAGTAGGGTTCAAATTTATTTAACCAAAAAAAAAAAAAAAAAAAACGAGTGACAGGACTGAGGGGGTACAATAATGGTCCGCAACTCCAATATAAATGAGAGCACCAAACCAAACAATGTGTCATAACATGCCTAGCTGGAAACCAACCACCTTTTACCACTTATTATGCATCATGCATCTCACTCTTTGTCCCCACTTGTACTTATGAGTACAACAACTTCCATTATGCATCTTAATTTAAATAATTAAATTACTGTTAGGGTTATTACTAATGTTTTATTGGCATGAATGAATAGTTTTTGATATACTTAAGTTGTTCAAGTTCAACCATTTAATAAACCTGAGGTCATATTAAATCTAAACTCTTGATTGAGGTTACTAAAGAGACAAAAATTGATCACTATTACCAATTCAAAGGTGGTATATTATTATCTATTGCTTTAAGGTCATAATTAGTTTTTTTAGTCATATAAACCCTGTTGTAACATTAACATGTTCATCATGGAGACCTTCGAATCTTGAAGACCCCACGCTCAATCTCATATAACACTTTTCTGATATCCCTCCGTGGTCTATTATAGACCACCATGATGTAGAGATTGTGAAAAGGCTTGTATTATTAAGCTAGAGCAGTAAGCTATTTATACAAGTACAGAGAGATAAAGTAGGTAACAAAACAAACAATAAGGAACTATTATACAGGATGAAACTAAGCAACAAAATTTAATAATACATTAAATCATTAATCCTTAACACGCCCCCGCAAGATGGAGGAGCCGTCGGAAACTCCAATCTTGGAACGAAACCGCAAAACGAAGTCACGACCTAGCGGTTTGGTAAGTACGTCAGCAATCTGATCCTTTGAGCTAATATGACGAACACCCAAAGTGCCGTCCATGACACGCTCTCGAACAAAAAAATAGTCCAGCGCAAGATGCTTCATCCTCGAATGGAACACCGGGTTCTTTGCAACATACGTGGCTCCCATATTATCGCAATACAACAGTGGTGAATGCGGTAATACTATACCCAGCTCAGACAAAAGATTCTGTACCCAGATTACCTCAGCAGCCGAACTCGCCAAAGCACGATACTCAGCATCGGTTGAAGACCGTGAGACAGTTTTCTGACGAACAGACTTCCACGAGACAACATTTGAACCAAGACAAATAACAAAACCAGTGGTAGAACGACCATCATCTCTACTACCACCCCAATCAGAGTCTGAAAAGGCTGTCAGCAACAAACTGGGGCACGCACATAATAATAAACCATGAAATAAAGTACCTTTCATATACCGAAGTAACCGTTTAACGACACCCCAATGATATGCCTTTGGCGAGTGCATGCATTGCGATAAGGAATTAACAACATAAGCAACGTCAGGTCTAGTGACCGATAGGTACTGCAGCATTCCAATCAACCTACGAAAATCAGTCACATCAACCACAGGTTCCCCCTCGTGAATAGACACGGACGTCATAGTAGACATCGGAGTAGAAACAGGCTTTGCGCCATCCATGTTATATCGAGCCAGAATATCTGCAACGTACCTACTCTGGGAAAGAAAATAACCACCAGAAATAGGTACAACCTCAACACCAAGAAAATGGTGTAGTGTGCCTAAGTCCTTCAAAGCAAATTTTTGTGATAATAATTTTATGAATCGGTCAAGAAAAACATCATTGTTTCCAGTGACAATTATATCATCCACGTAAACCATAAAATAAACAAGCATTCCACGAGCAGCATACACAAACAAAGAAGCATCACTGATGGTTTTCTTAAAGCCAAAATTGATCAGAAAATATGATAACTCCAGGTACCAAGCTCGCGGAGCTTGCTTCAGGCCATACAAGGCCTTTTTTAACTTGCAAATGTAGTTAGGCTGAGTAGAGTCAATAAACCCCGGAGGTTGCTCCATAAAGACCTCTTCACTTAACGTCCCATTTAAAAAGGCATGTCAAGCTGCCGTGTGGACCACCCTCGAGACAATGCAATTGTCAGAACAACCCGGATAGTTACTGGTTTCATAACCGGACTGAAGGTCTCAAAGTAATCATAGCCAGACTCCTGTAAAAACCCCTTAGCGACTAAACGAGCCTTGAACTTGTCAATAGTACCGTCAGCATGCCGTTTGACCCGAAACACCCATTTACATCCAATAATTTTCTATCCAACATTCGGCACCAGCTCCCATGTTCGATTATGGATCAACGCTGTAAATTCAACCTCCATTGCCTTACGCCAAAGTGGTTGCTTCAGAGCCTGCGCAACCGTAGATGGTTCGACTGCACTAGGCATAGAGTGAGCCGAAGTCACATTAACAAATGCATCATTAAAATATTTCGGATTAGGCCGTCGGGTTCTTTTTGGACGATCACTGGCATGCGACACGGTTCGAGTGGATGCTGTCGGTTGGTCACTGATTTGGGATGAACCAGGAGCAGCCTCGACTGACAGATTACTCACCTGAGGCATGCCAGGAACAGAATCCGCAGACTCAGTCGATGAGGAACCCGATTGTACATGATCTCGGGAAGATGCAGATTCAGAGTGTGCATGATCCCCAGTTGATGGAATATTATCCTGTAAAATTATTGGACTCACAGGCGCAACTGAGTTATTGTGGGATTCTATATCACAATTAGCAGGAGTAGATGGAACAGAAGTTGAGGTCTGTATCGCAGGGAGATTATGTGGAATAAAAATTTGTGTGCTACTGGAGGAAGCTGCAAGAAACTGGTTATTTGCATGGGACATAAGTATTTTCTTGTAAGGGAATTCAGACTCAACAAATGTGACATGGCATGAAATATAAATACGATTTGTAATTGGCTCTAGACACTTATATGCAGATTGAGAAACAGAATAACCAATAAACACACATGGTGCCGACCGTGGTTTTAATTTCGAAGAAGCATAAGGTCGAAGCCATGGATAACATAGGCACCCAAAACATTTTATTTTATCATAACTAGGGACTTTATGGAATAACATTTGGTATGGAGAAATATTATTAAGAATAGGTGTTGGCATTCTATTTATAAGAAACACAACGGTGTGAGATAGATCCATTTGTACACCACGCGCTCCTCCCTTGTTTACTTGTACAGTAAAATTATAAACCGAACTTCACTCAGAATAATATTTGTGTAGTGATTGCAGACTTTCTCCCTAACTCAAAGAAACTTTTGTTTTTATCTTTCACTAAACAATCTGCGAAACAGGCAATTATCTGTTGGCAAAGTATTGCTCGGAATGATTTACACACCCTCCTTTTATCATTTGTAATGTGTTATACTCTTTGATTTGATTTAATGAAATCGTTTTGTTTTTCACTAAAAACAAAAAAAGGGCAGCTCCGGTTCATTAAAGAACTGTTACGTACGTACCCACTTTTATTATTACTTCCTTCATACATTCTCTCTCCCCTTTCATAGTCTGATAGACACTCTCACATGCCATGGATGCTCCAAAACCCTTCTTCTTCGTCGTCTTCTTGCTTCTTGTCACCAACAACGCAAGCGTAGGAGCCCAAGTTGAAGAATCCGCCGTGAAAGTCGTCGGCGAAAGAACGGAGATGCCAATGGGGATGTCATTGTACGGCGGCGACTTCGGCGATGCTGAAGAGGAGGAGCTGGAAGGAGAAGAATCCGCGGCAGCGGCGGCGGGTAGCCGGAGATCTCTCTTCTGGCGCACAATGAGGTACTACATCTCCTACGGCGCACTCTCGGCCAACCGGATCCCTTGCCCTCCCCGTTCCGGCAGGTCTTACTACACCCACAACTGCCACCTGGCTACCGGCCCCGTCCGCCCTTACTTCCGAGGTTGCTCCGCCATCACGCGCTGCCGGAGGTGAACACCTGTATAACTACAGTACGTTACGTTATATGGGTTGCATGTATATGTAATCTGCGTGCTTTTTAATTTCTTTGAAAATTTTGCAGACTCATTGCCTGCTGGTCCACTGTTAAAACATTATTCTTAATTAATATTCGATTTGTGTTTATCAAATTAATTATGGATAAACTTAACTAGGTTATTGCAAATGTTTAGTTGCTTGGTAATATAGTTGCCTTATTTAGTATGATGATAGAAGAAAGAAAAAACACTTGGTAGGCCATGGTAAATGGTATATATATATATATATATATATATATATATATATATATATATATATATATATAATTATTGGCAAATGTGTTATCTTAGACACCCATCTTCTGTCTCATTTTATGTATATGATTCAAGTAATGAGATTTGACTGAAGTCATTTTTAATTTAATTTTTATAATGTTATTTTAGTATTAGTATATAAAATTTATATATAATTATAGATTACATCACTATTAAACACACACAAAAAAATACTAAAAAAATAAATAAAGAAAAAAAAAAGAGTTTGATTGACTAATGAATAATAAACATAACATGTAAAACACGATAAATTGAGTAATTAGATGATTATCTTGTTAGTCATACAATTCTTTGAATGGCGTTTTATAATTCATGATAGTTGGTTGGTGTATCACTATTAGCTTATTATGGGTCAAATATTGAAATAGGTAAAAATAAAGAAGTTTGACAAAAATATGAGGTATTTGAAAGTTGGATAAAAATAGGCAAAGCTCATTTGTCAAATGTGTTTCTTGTCATTGCCTTTTCAAACTTGGAAAAAAAAAAAAAAAAAGTTGTGGCTAGGAACGAACAGGCTTTGAGAATTTTGTAGATCGACATGTATAATCGAAATCCATGTTTTGCTTCACATGAGAAACTATTGATAGCTAATTAATTTTAATATATTATATTATTATTATTTGGGCGTCCAAGTCATCAAAACATATAGATGTAACATTCCAATCACCTAATTTGGAAGTTACCTGCAATGAGATGTTAAATGGAGTTAATTGTATTTTATTCTAAGTTCAGGTATCTAATTGAAAATTTCTTTTAATTCGAGAGTTTAATTACACTTTCATAAATAGTTCAATTTTTTTATTTTTTATTTTGAAAATAAAGAAGCTAATACATTAATCATAGGCTGAAACGTTTATAATAACAATCCATGGAATGGTCCAACATTCCTTACAGTCAGACATAGAAACAACTTCCCTGGCAACACTAGGAAAAACTTGATTCGCAGACCATTTTACAAATTTGAAGCTGAATTTTTTGGAAGAACTTAAAGTTCTTTAATGATTTAGTCAAACATATCCAAGACCAACACTAGTTGAATAGTCTTGAACACCACCTGGGTATCTATTTTCATTTTTCTATCAATTGACAATATCTCCATCGAGCTGAACTATATATCATAGTTCAGAAAAGTCTTTTTTTCATTGTTATGTTTGTCACCAGGATGAGATTTACATACGCCATGACCAGTTTTATCATTTCACACTTTATGAAAAAGAACTCGCCAAGTAAACGAGATGAAGAAACTCGTCAAAACAGCGAGAGGAAAAACACAGAAACTGCAGACAAAATTAAAACCTGTAAAACAAAGCAAAAAGAAACAGCATTGCGAAAATAAGAGAGTAACGACCGGTAGCGGTAGAGATGGATGAGAAAACGATGAAGGCGGATGCTGACTGTGGAGATGACACCAGAGGAAAACAATCGGACGGCTGTATAGAATACCAGCGACGAGAGAGAATTAGAAAAACCCTAATAAATAATTCAAGAGTTTATTTAACTTTTATTTAAAAAAAAAAAAAAAAAAAAAAAAAGTTAATCAAGTATGGGCCAATATTTGGCTATTAAGCTTATTAGTTCTCCGTATTGTAAATAAGGAAAGATGACACAGATCTTAGCCCGCAAAAACTAGAGTGCAATATAGAGGGAGAAATTGAGGCCTATATGAAGATCCATAAAAATAGCCAGGCCCAAAAAGATCTAAGATTCCCCTTAAAAGGCTATATATACACTTCATTATTCTCATTTTATATGTCTGATTTAATTAACGAAATTCGATTAAATCTATTAACAATTCAATTAGTATTAGTATAGTAGTATTTCTCTTTAAAAAATAGTGTTGGTATATAAATTTTATATATTTATGAACAACATTAAAAGAACTATTAAACATAATAAAATTAAATTTAAAAATATTAACAAAAACAAGAAAAGAATAGAGTGTTGGTTTGAACAAAGAATAGTAAACATAATAGTAGTAAGAAGTTTGGTGTTTAAAACTTTATGAATTATGCCAAGTACCTTGTGCTCAATGACACCTCTGTGACTCTCGTTGAGGGAAGGTCATATGATCTAATCTCGATTGTAAGATATTGACTCTTAGGATTGCACACATACTATCTTATAATAAAGTCAATAATACTAAAAAAAAATTCTATGAATGGTCTTGATTTTTAGTCTTTGGAATATAGTGACAATTTTTAAGTTTATTTATGACTTTTACTTTTGACTAATTTCAATTTGACATATTTACATTTGGATTTTCAGCATAGTTCCAATTAATAAGTTTAGTTATGACTTTTAATTTGACACGTTTAATTTTTGATATACACAAATTCCAAAAAACTCTACTATGGCTATGGCCATTTTAAACATGTTGGATGAATGTAAAACAGTGTTGAATTTATGGATGATATAAAATTATTATTTTGTAGTCTATATTGTGACCAAAAGTAAAATTTAATTCTAAATTTTGCTATGCTCGTAAAGTTTAATTCTAATTTTACTGAAAGCAATAAACACTTTTCTACAACCATTTTAAGTTTTTTCTAACAAATTTGTTACGAAGTATTTTTTTTCAGTCAATTAAATTGATTGACGATAAACTGTATAAGTCATAAAATCAACCTATATAAAATTGATGGTGTGGAACAACACCATAGATATTCCCGTTATATTTTAATAATAATCATGTAATGTCATTGCATTTTAAAACAAATTCTAGGTGTAACGGGTAGGTTATGGTGAGAAGGCTCAATCAAAGAAGGGTGTCTGAAAAGGGGCGGTCTAGCTAGGCCGGGTCCAAACGAACCCGTTCAAGGGTTCAACAATGGCCCGCCACCAAACTACAGATTCGAGGAAGGTGAGTCGCACACAAGTAATGACCGGTTGGACCGGAGCAGGTAGCTCCTACGGCCGACCAGATGCGGGCCGGTTCATAAAGAAAACCAGGATCGTTGCCTCTCACGTGGGGTGATGGCGATGGGGTTTTGACCTGTCGTGGGGTACCGGTTGTGGCGGTTCAAAGCATCTAAACCGCTCTTTGGCTCTGTTGTAATAAAATACTGTACAGTGTACCGGCCGTACCAACTCCCTTTTGAATTGCTTCAATGCACTTGCCCTGTTGCAGTTCACGTTTGGTTCATTTTGGGACTACATGTTTTCTCTCTTTTTTTGTACAGTAAGTAATAAGTTCATCACTAACTTTACTACCTTATATATTGTTTTCAATTTCCCTTGGAATAAAAAAAAAAAAAAAGGAAAAGGATTTGCTTATTTCTATGTAGAGTTAATTCTATTTTTTGTCATTGATTTATTAGTATATGTTTACTTTTTGTTTTTTTTTTATCAGAACATCCTCATTTGATTATAGTATTATTGTGGCATGATTATTTTTTGTCATTCGTCAACAAAATAGTAGAAATACAGTTAAATATAAGGATATTTTAATTTTTTTTTATAAAAAATCGGTTGAGCCACTATTTTTTTATATATTTTTTTGAAAAAAATTAATAATTAAAGACCACGATATCTTTATATTTAACGAAATTTAAATTATTTGTTGATAAAGAACAAAAAATGATCATGCCACAATAATACTATGACCAAAAGTAAATGTTTTGAAAAAAAATGATCTCATATATAAATCTACTACAAAACATATAATTAACTCTTTTATGAATCTAATTAGATATGGCTAACAAAGAGGGCAAATCCCGTTGCAAAATGAAAGGTGTTATTACTATGGGAAACCATAGTTTGCGAGTGATGGGGCAAAATAAAAGGTGATAATTGAATAGAAAATCTCTTAAATAAGAAAAATGTGTCTGAGAGTATATTCAATAATAATAGCCTGACAATATAGTTAATTTAACCCCGGGTGAGAACCGTTTATTGACATTTTCGATTTGAACTTGTCACTTATGTGTAATTCAAACTAGTTTACCTACTCGTGGTCTTTTGTCGACTAGAATCACAATGCATGTTTCACGCATAATGCACATTTAAGTAGCAGCTACAAGTTTTCTCATAAACCAAAATAATAGTAACCCTTGAAAAAAAAAAGTTAAAGTAATTTAATTGGTAAGGGCATCCTCAATAGTGTGAAGATTTTGAGGAGATTTTACAGGTGTGATTAGAAAAACGAAAATGGAAGCAGAGAAAAAAGAATAACAAAACAAAACAAAACTAAAATTTGAAAATAAAAAAATAAATAAAAGAATTACGCGCCCAGGTGGGCGCGATGCGTGAGGCGCAACTCTCCTTTTCCATTGGTGGGACCCACTCACCTGCAAAATCCCCATTTTTTGCATGACCAACTCCCATTTCTCTCTCTCTCTTCCCTCTCTTTCCTCCACCTCACCCCACATTTCTTAAAATCTAGTCCAAAGTTCCCTTTTTGGGATGCTCTAAGAACATTGATTGTCATTAAAAGGGTGTCTGAGTGTGTGAAACATGATTTTTATGTCACAATATCACCATCTCGGTCGAGCCCATTGCACAAAGTCTTCTTAATGTATGCGGTTTACGTACTTCTCATGTGGTCTCTAAAGGGATGGAGGGATAATCGGCCAAGTCTCTTCCTTCCCGTTGTCACTAATATGTTCTTAGTACAACACAATTTACTTCTTCTATGTAGGAAAAAGGTGTTCTTAGTACAACACAATTTACTTCTTTTATGTAGGAAAAAGGGTGAGAGTTAGCCATATGATTGATGGAGATTGTTCACTCTTGATGGGTGAATGGGGAAGGTAGGGGAGTGGAGTTGTTGGCCTCCCTTACATGTCTGGCCAATGTCCCATCCCAATCTCCTTTGCCCTCTTAGACTTGATCCGACCTTATATATTGTCGTGTTGGGAGACCTATTATGGTTCATATCTCCCAACATGATAATCACAATAATATTTTTATATTTATTAATTATTCATAAATTGATCGACTGATCATATTACAAGTAATTGATATTTATGCTGATTTGCGGGACAAAAATTGGGTGATTATTTAATGGGCAGCTAGAAGGGATATAAAATAACCCTAGCATTCTGTGCAATCTTTCATCTATTATATATTGGATTGCATTTCACTTCCCCAAATCGGCAGCGCAATTAGGGATTGAAAGGGCAGGCAGAGTTTGCGGAAGTGATTGTGGCCTTGTGGGTGTTCAGCTGCGTTTGCCTGTGCGCCGCAAAGTTGAGGAATCTTTAATTTATTCCTCACATTAATTAACACCTTTTCCAACTTCACAGTTCACAGTATCCTACTCTTCAACTTGTCCATAAATTAGTATTATATTATATGCCAGCATCTACTTGCTCCATCCAAAAGTAGTGCTAGTCTTTTGTTTGACACCTTCGAATACTATATTTTAATCGAGAAAGGATAAAGTTATTCTTAACATTAACAAATTTGTTTAATATCACGGATTCAGTTCTAGTCACTATTTTGATGATACACACATATAATAATATATAGATAATAAATTCAATTACTTCAATATCTGTAATAATAAATCCATAATTTCAATCCAAAATTCAAAGACAAAACATCCCTAATCCATAGGGATTTCATTTTAATTTTAGAGATTTTACATTATGTATTTATTTATATATTTAAAATTTTGATTAACCATTCGGTTAATTTAATAGTTTCAAACCAAATTAATCGTAAACTGAAATTTTACAAAATCTTTAACCATTAACCGAAATTCTTCGGTTTAGTCAGTTAACCCAAATTTGCACATCCCAAACCATAAGATCAAGTATATGTTGTTATGGATACATGTTAATTTCACGGTCACTTTTCTATACATTACATAAGTACCCAACTTCCGTCACGATGATACGAAGAAAGGGATAAAAAAAATAATAATAACTTTCGTAGGATATAGTTGGCTCTGATACCATGTAAAGGCTATGTGAGCATTAATCAGTTGTGATTATTGATGTGAAATATAGCATATATATGTAATATATATAGTACATAAAAGAAGAGCAAATAGTGAAAAGTTGTGACCACTATTCAATCATAACTAGTCTATAGGAGCATAAATAGAACAAAGAATAATTGAATATTATCCTAGCCACATGTTGGCTTAATAACGCTATCCTAATGTTATAAATGTTTATAGTTTATTTAGTTAAGTAATAGTTAATTTCTTTAGTTTCATTCACAATAAATCAAACCCAGTCTTTAATTGCATTCTCCGTTGCTACAGTGGGGGCAGATCCTGGTCTTCATTGCTTTACTTTTACTTGAAGAAAGTAAAATGTGGGATTTCTTTTATTTCACACAATTACATGAATCTTCTCTTTTCATATTCTGTGCCTCATCAATTTGCCTTTTGATCCACTGATTGTGTCCCCCTTTCACATATCCCTCCTTATACGGATTATTATGGAGTATCGATCCACTCCCCAATAGGGCAATAGACCACCAAATAACCTATAGGACTAAAAAATCTTAAAAAAGAGATTTGGGGAAAATTTGATTCGAAATTGTGTGTTGGAATGACTTAGGTCAATTATCTTGCATTAACTCGACAATCACACTCTCCCCGATTACTTCTCCTGTAGAGCAATAATTCTCCTCCAAAGAACACATTTGACATGATCAAGGGTGACCCTTTGCAGGTGTGAAATGGCTCAAATGAACATCATTTCCATTGCAGTTAAATTAAAGAAACTTCAATTCCATGCATCTATCCATCCAGTTTGACCATACTTTATTTTATTCCAATCTATTGTCTTACGTTGGCACACCACTTTTTGTGCAATCAATTAGCAATCTCCCATCCAGCACATATAATACTCGATTACAAAATTGCAAAGTCAAACTGGATAACCATGAAATTAAACCACCAATGGTAGCCACTAGGCAATACAGCAATTATACTGCGGACCATGGTCCAAAACGACAAACATTATAGTGTATCTAAACTGACACTGTCTCACGTATTATTTTTATCATATTATCAAATGAAACTGCAATTAAATTGAAATGAAACTGTAATTGTGTTGATATGAACCTGCAGTGTATAAAAAATGAAACTGAATAACAATTTCATATATTTGAGTGTATATTGTCCACCTAAACAGTATTTATATCAAAATGATATATTGTAGTTGGGTTGAAATAAAACTGCAATTTACAGTACATATTTGATGCCTGAACCACAATGCATTCTGGACCGCTGTCCACATTATAATTTGCCCTAGGCACTAGCCACCGGCCGGCGGGGCGCATATATGCAGGCACCATGAGGAGGGGCGTGTGGCTAAAAATCATGGCTTTGCATAAGCCAATGATAGTGCCGCAACTCTTGGACCGGTCCATCAGCCGCAGTCTCCACTCGCATCATTAATTATTAACTATGTGTAGTCCGTGCCTGCATATTTAATGGTGACATATTGGCTTATGTTATGTATACAATTCATTTATCACCGCTCTTTTTTCCCCTTCCAACTTGGGGGGTCCCTTAGTTTCTCCTTTGATGAGGACTTCTTGAAGCCAATGGGTCAAAATATTATTGGCCTGTTCAAAAGATAGTTAAATGGAAAAGTATTTGGTACGTTCGATCTATTGGCCGGAGATAATTTGGAGGAGTTGTCAAAGTCATCCCTATTGTTTAAAATATAGTTGAGTCTGTCGCAAATGTGTCTTTTTAGTGGAATTTGCATCATTTATGCGATTTATGAATTATTATATAACGATTGAATTTATCTGGTACACACCTTCATGTAATAATTGCGAGGTTTCATCGTTACAAAAAAATGGTTCATATAAATACTTGTAGAGCGGATTGTCATTGTCGCACCCTGTGTGTATATATTGATGCAATTGCTATTTTGTGTTATAAAATTATGAGTTGATAAATTTTTTATAAGATCTCTTAAATCATACAGTTGGTTTTACAGTCACGAGGTAGCCGGACAGTGAGCCAACACTACCGTAAAATGCTAAGAAAAATTTAAGAGAAAAAATTGATAGAGTAATTGTAATTGTATTCAATCTAGAACCCTTTACGATGTGATCCCATGCATGAGGTATTTATACAAGATATATGGGTCTTGAAAAAGGAAAGAAGAAAGAAAGTAAGAAACTAATAAAATTGAATTTAGAAAAGCTTTCACACTGCTAGGTCAACTTCCTAATATGATAAAAGTAAAATTCTGCGCCAAAATTGAGCCAAATCTTCGGTCATCGCCTCTGAGCACAGCACTCAATCGGGACCCCTTGTACTGCCTAATCTAGTTGCTCAACCAAGCCGGCCAACAAAGTACATAAGTGAACCGGGGCTAGACTATTAGAGTCCGTCTGCTCTCTAAGCAAGTAGTCGAACTGTACATCCTGATTACCTAATTATATACATGACTGGGTATCCTATCAGAGTATCCTTCACATACAAAACTACAAAAGAAGTAATTGAAAATATGAAGAAATATCTTTGTAATTTTGGGTATGAACCCACCACCACGTTTTTTAAAAAAACTGGTGGACTACGCTATTTGACTCCAAATTATGAAAACAAAATCAAAATCAAAATCAAAATAAACATGCCTTTCCTTATCACGTGCTCCTACGACCGCTGCTAAATTCTCACACGCACGTTCGCGACTTGGCGTCACCGTGTATGCAAATTTTTCTTTAGTACTTTCCTAAAACAAAAAATTGGAAATTTAGAAATTAGATTCTCCACCCCAATATATACCCCAGTGGCTCTGTGCTATAAGTCATTGTTAGTCGTGATCTCCAAGTAAAAAATATCCTCTGTTTCTTCTTCTTCCCCGTCTCTCTAATTCTTTCTTCACAAGAAACCTATTAAGTGTTAGGGTTTTGCCTTAACAGATCGATCGATCATTTTCCATGGATTGGGTTCGTGGTCAGACGGTAGGGCACGGGAGTTTCGGGAAAGTAAGCATGGCCACGGCGAGAAATGGCGGCGTCGGATTTTCGCCGGCGATGGTGGTCAAGTCTTGCTCGGCGTCGCGCGCGGCTTCCCTGTTGAACGAGAAACGGATACTGGATGAGCTTCAGGGTTGCCCGGAGATTGTTCGGTGCTTCGGAGACAGTTATAGTTTCGAGAAGGGCGAGAAGATCTACAATGTGCTGTTGGAATTCGCTTCTCGGGGATCATTAGGGGATAAGATTAAGGATTCGGGGGATTATAGGTTGCCGGAATTTGAGACTCGCAGGTATACCAAGGCTCTGCTTCGCGGGCTGAGGTTTATTCATGAAACGGGTTATGTTCACTGTGACGTTAAGCTTGATAATATTCTGTTGGGCGAGGATGGTCGGATTAGGATTGCGGATTTTGGATTGGCTAAGAGATATGGAGGAGGAGGGGAGAGTTTAGGGTGTGAGTTGAGGGGTACGCCAATGTACATGTCGCCGGAAATGGTGGCCAGCGGCGAGCAGGGGCCGGCGGCGGATATATGGGCACTTGGGTGCGTGGTGGCGGAGATGGCTACCGGAGCGCCGGCGTGGAATTGCTCTAACGTGGCGGCGCTGCTTATGAGAATCGGGGTCGGCGAAGAAGTCCCTGAAATTCCGGGGGAGTTGTCATCGGAAGGTCAAGATTTTCTGGGGAAGTGTTTTCTCAAGGACCCGAGGAAAAGATGGACGGCGGAGATGCTTCTAAATCATCCTTTCGTGGCCGCCGCCGAGAATGACGGCGAAGAATTCTGCGCCGCCGACACTGTTACATTGAAAGACAAATCTCCGGTTCCCTTCACTTCCCCTCGATGCCCGTTCGATTTCCCGGATTGGACGTCGGAAACAGAGTCCCGGCAATCCTCCGTTACATGCTCAATTACATCCTTGCCGGAATCAGAATATTCCCGGCCATCTTCGCCGGCGACAAGGCTGCGGGGACTATTCAGTGACCACTCACCCAATTGGTCTGAAGTTGCTGACGGGTGGGTAAGCATTAGGTGATCCCATTGGTGGAGATTAAAATTTTTTTCACCAATTATTCCAATTGTATTAGCATTTCGCTTATTAATTGGAGAAATTTTTAAATCTTTGATGTAAATATGAGGGGAATATACTTTGGGAATCCCCAAAGTTCCAACTGTACAATGTTAGTTTAATGATGACAGAAGTGAATGAATCGAATTCTTGGGAAACATGAGACTTGCAATCTAGGCAATTTCTATGATTTCTTTTTTTTTTTTTTTTTTTAATAATGTTGGGGTGATGAAGTGAGGATGACATTCAGAAAACCACTCTTATTATTGCAAGTTGCAACGACCATAAAATCACGGCTCAAACACCAATAAAAATATCATTGGAAAGGGGGGTTGCAACTCGTAAGCAGATAAGTGAAGAGATAACGAGTACTTCCCTTTCGGTAAAAGTTGCAACTCCCGTTAAATAACGGCGCTGTCTTTTATATGTTGTTTTTCTTTTTTAAAGATTTGCGGTGCATGTACTTATAGAATTATACAGAGCATTACGGAATATACCTTGTTTTGATGGATTCCTAAATTAAGTGTGATTAGGAAAGAGAAATGGATGAAAAAAAACCCTCAAAAATTCTCCAAAATTCTCTAAAATTCTGACAAAATCTTTTAAATAACCTAACAACCACAACCCTCTCTCTTCTTTCCTTCAACACATCAACTTTTTTTTTAAGTGTACTCAGTCCGCCCAAACAGGGGTGAAGTAGTCGATCAATCATGGAAATGCCAAAGGATTATCGGGCACAATAAGATTTAAAAGGACATTCTGAGATATTAGAAGATCTGTTACTAAATTTGTTTGGATTTCATCTTCTTAAAAAAAAAAAAGATTTCATGTTTTAGAAAGAAAAACCAAACTTGATTTAGGAAAGTTTCATAGTCTGAATTTGTAAACTACGAGCATCTTCATATGTGGTTTTTTTCATAATTTTTGAAAAGAACATGACTTGTGTGGAGGAGAGAGAAGATTTGGGTCTTCCTACAATAATGATTTTTTTGTGGGAGCTAGGGGAGAGAAAAGAGAAAAGAGAGGCGCACCAGCGTGCGTGGCCTGCACAGACCATGCCCAGACGAGCACGTGCAGTGCACGCGGGCACGCCCATTTTTTATTTTTATTTTTTTGCGTCTGACCTGTTTTTTTAATTTTTTTTTTCTCTCTTTTTCCTTTTCTCTCCCTCCTCTCTCTCCTAATTAGTGCCTCAAAAACCACACCAAAAAAAAAAAAAAAAAAACACTATTATTGAAGATGCTCTAAGGCTAGCCAAAGTCTTAGAGACCAAAAGCTTGTTAGTAATATTGTGTGTTTTACTAATTTGGTGTTGAGTTGTTTGACCAAAAGCTTCTTGAAACAATCTTGAGGGGAAGCAATTATGAGTTATGAGACTAGTAAAAGTCTTGTTTGGGTAGAAACAATAACGTTGACAAATTGACGTTCAAGTAGGGGGAGTTATTACCCCATGAGCAATGCAGCAAGTTGATTGATGATCAACTTGGGAATTCCGTAGGTTCCGATCTGGTCTCAACTCTCAATGTTGCTGTCGTTGAATGTTCCAGATGTGTCATCCAATTGCCACTGTCCACAACCAAAGCACAGTAAAGTGCAAGTTGCAAGTGCCTAATGGGCCGGGATTCATATTTACAATGTTAGGCCCTATTCACCCTTTTTCAACTGAATTGAAAGCCAGCCAGTGTAAATTGATCAATCGTTATGCGGTGGAACCATACCCACCTTGCAAGGTGGACATGATTTTATGTTTATAATTACTGAACGACTATATGTTTATAATTATAAAGCTATATATTCATAATTTTAGAACTTCATATTCACAATTATTGAATCTCTATATTCATAATTACAGAACTATATGTTCATAATTTTTTAGTTATATATTCATAATTATGAACAGTTCACGATTCCACATCATAATTTTCCTAAATTGATACTTCTTTTTTTTTTTTTTTTACCATTCGAACTTGTGACCTTTGATTTAAAATGGTAATAGTAATGCTATCAAATCACAAGATCAAATAAACCCTAGTACCTAGCTTAGGTTGCCATAGCTAACATGGTCAAATCAAGAAGTTCTTAACAGTAGTTAGCCAATTTGGATGGGGTTACCCCTATTATAACCTTTTTGAATAGACACAAAATCTAGTTCATACTTTTAACAAGGTGATAAGTATTTAGTTTGTCCAGACAATCTCAACTAAGTTGATTAGACAACTAGTTTGATAATTACAAACTTTCAAATTGAATTAACTCTCCGTAAAAACTGCCCAGGGCAACCTAGCTAGACTGGTGTGAGCCACTGCACCCTCAATAGCGACAGCAGGTCTTTTGTAAATCAAAGTATTTAGTTGCTATTCAACATACCTTATCAGACAACCTGCAATGCGGCGACCTGCCTTCAAGTTTTGTTCTGCAAATGATTGACAAAAAAAAAAAAAAAAAAAAAAAAGTCAATAATTTCTCTACTAGAAGTGTAAGTATATATCATATGGCACTGTACGGAGATTGGAGAAAGCTAACAACGTAACCCACTATGCATTAAAATATGCTTAGTGGTGTTACATCCAAGTAGGTGAAATTACATTTTTAATCTCTTAATTATTATATGATAATAATCATTTTAGTCCATCAATTATTGTCATTAAGTTTACGATACCCCATAAATTTTTAAATAAGTTGCAAATTTAGTCTATGAAACAATAGAATCATTAAACTACATTAATAATTTACTTACTTAGTACTTCAGTATTTCATAATTTTTTTTTTTATTCATACCTTCTTATACCTTCTTCAATTTATACACACACATGACATGCCCTAATCATATAAGCTTAGATCTAGCTTTTTTACTAAACAAGTCAGGCTAGGACAATTAGGCAAACCCAAATTAGGCCAAGTTGTAAGTGCTACGACTAGGGATGTCAATTTAGCCCTGAACCAATGGGCTGGCCCAATAAGTCCTAAAAATTGCAGAGCTAAAATTCTAAAAAAATCAATCCAATAAAAAAATAAGCTCATTGGGTTAACCTATGACGCCTTGATAAGGGACCCACCTTTTCCGATCCCACCTCTATTGCTCCTACGACTAAAATTGCAACTTATTTGGAAATTTAGAAGGAATACTAGAACAATAACAACAACAACAAAACAAAACAAAACAAAACAAAAAAAACAAAACAAAACAAAACAAAACCAAAAAAAAAAAAAAAAAAAAACCTTAAATGACTAGCATGGAATAATTGGACTAAAAAATGCAATTCATGCGTAATAATCTATAAACCACAAACAAGAGTTTGACAAAAGGATGTATGTTGACAATAATGGTACTCAAGCCAAGACCTTAACTGCACCACAAAAGCAAGCTCATGAGTAGAAGTTTGACACCAACTTAAGTACCACTCCACAATCTTTTGTGGAGCTGACGTGGTATCGTATCATCATTACCATTCAAATATATATGATAGTCATATACTCTATCTATACGTAATTGACCAGTGACCACACCATTAAGGCCATCAATCTTTCATTCTTTCCCTAGTCTTTGTTAATGCAAATTGAGACTTTAAAATACCAAGATATTCATATATAGATCCTACCCATTGCCTACTAGGATCCAATTAAGCAATAAAGGCATCGCAATGTCTAAAAAAAATCTCCCACCAACTGTTCCAGGATGTGGTATTCTAAAGTTGGTTAAGAACTGCAAGACAAACAATAGTTCATTATAAGTGCATGAAAACTCCCTATTAAAAAAACTATAAGAATATAAAAGAATTGAAGAAGAAAGGTGAAGGATTTCGTACCGATAATGAACCATGTCCTACATCTAAGTATGTCTTGTAAATTGTTGCCATAATTGCAGCCATTCGGGCCACCCCATGAATGATTCCAACTCTCAGTCTTCTTGCTTTTTCATAACTGGGGAAAACACGAAGAGAAGGAGAAATTATATATTTGGGGTGTTTGACAAATAAAGGTTAATCAGTTTGACTAGTTGATAGCTAGTTGTAGAAATATGCATGTTTGGTAAATTAATTAGGTGTTAGTTATGTTAATAGCTGATTACATGCAAAATGACATTTGGGTATATATTTGTTTTGAACAGCTTTTTGAATTTTAGCATTTAGGGTCCGTTTGGAAAGCAGGAAAATGACTTCTGGAAAATGGTTTCTGGAAAATGAGTCATTTTCCAGAAAACATTTTCCTATTCCAGTGTTTGGTTGCATTTGGAAAACTGTTTTGGTGTGTTTGGTTCATTTTCTGAAAAATGAGTAGAATAGTATAATTAAATATTTTATTTTGAATTAAAAATTCATTTTATATTTTTAAAACAAAAAAAAAAAAAAAAAAAAATTGGCTTCCGGTGGAACCCAACTGGGTTCGCCGGAAACCATAGCTATGGTTTCCGGCGGAACCCAGTTGGGTTCGCCGAAAACCATAGCCATGGTTTCCGGCTTGGGTTCCGCCAGAAACCATAGCCATGGTTTCCGGCTTGGGTTCCGCCAGATTTTAAAAAAAAAAAAAAAAAAAAAAAAATAACGAAAGAGAAAGGCGGAAAACGACTTCCGCCCAAATTTGGCGGAAGTCATTTTCCGCCAAATTGGGCTCATTTTCCCCAGTCAACGGAAAATGTTTTCCGTTGACTGAATTTTCCAGGTGTAGCCAAACACCAAAAACTCGGAAAATGACTTTCAGAAGTCATTTTCCGGGTTTCCAAACATAGCCTATTAACCAAATACTCATGGTTTAACCAAGTCAAACAAGTCAAAATTAATCCCGTATTTTTTTTTTAATAAAACCCTCAATTATTAATAAACTCTAATATACACTGTGATCTGTCTTCACTTTTTACCTGAAGGGTTGTTCTCATTTGAACTCACATCTCTTTCTCTCTCTCTATATGTATATATAGTCAACAAAATTAGGAAATCTAATTTACCTTTTTAATGAAGAGGTGATATCTATAGGAATTCCTGACTCAACACTTTGCCTCCAAGCTTTGTCAAGCTCAAGAGCTAGTTGATACCCATCCTGCAATTTAATTATACAGACTAAAGTTTAAAACCCCTTCAATTCACTACTTCTCTAATCAAAATCTAGCCCAACAAGAGGCATGCGTGAATGGCAAATTATGTTGTTGTGGGAACCGTGTCCACCTTGCAGGGTGGACACGGTTCCAAAAATGTTCATAATTATGAATATATAGTTCAAAAAGTATGAACGTATAGTTCTATAATTATGAACATAGAGTTGTGAATATAATTATGAACATATAGTTTTGTAATTATGAATATAGAGATTCAATAATTGTGAATATGAAGTTCAAAAATTATGAATATATAATTCAGTAATTATGAACATTGAATTCTGTAAATATGAATATAGAGTTCAATAATTATGAATATATATAACTTTATAATTATGAACATACAGTTCAGTAATTATGAACATAGAATCGTGTCCAGGTGGACACAGTTCCACAGCATAACAATTGTGCATGAATTGATCCAAGAAACTAAATAACTAAAGGAAGAGGATATATCATATCAGCATAAGATAAAACGAAGTTATATATGGACTTATTACCTCTACGGCCATGCATCCACCTTGACCCAAATTTGGCTGCACCGCATGGATTGAGTCCCCAAGTAAGGTAACACGACCCTTGCTCCAAGTCAAGGATGGTGTTCTATCATAAATGTCGCGTCGAAAAATAGCATCTTCATCCGTAACAACTAATAAATTTATGACATTGTCACACCAACCTTCGAACATTTTTAGCAATCTTTCTTTTTTACCATTTGCCAAATCTACACCACCAGCTGGTTCATAGTGAAAAGCATACCACTGCATTTTCCCTCCACCCACATCGCAAGAAACAAAATATTGTTTGTGGCCTAGAAACACTCGGTACCTTCACAAGATAAATTTAAATTAACCTTTTTTTCCCCAAAATTACTTAAGAAAACTAGACATGATGACAATTCGTGTTTCATGCAGCACATGTTGGTGTCTATATATTTTCTTGATCTGGCTAGGTAAGGAATTAAAAAGTTTAGGCTATACACAAACACAAATACAAATTTGTAATAAGTTGACATGACTGGACACACGACATGTCTCAAGGTACACGTGTTGACACAACATAAATTGATACCGGGAATCATTGGGTTTGTAAGTTTGACTAGTTGATAACATAAATTAATTGATTGTAAAAAGATATTTGGTAAATTAGGTATTATATTTGGTTTCATGACGTATAAAAGATTACGGGTGACTAAATAAAACTAACAAAAGAAATGAGGAGAGAATGTTACAGTAAGGAGATCAGAATGTACCCCACAGTTTGAATATCAGCAGGAACAAAATCTGTGATTCCGGTGTAACATGTATAGCCTGAGTAAGTGGCGTCCTTATGCCCAAACAGATTAGCTCTCACCTAGTATTAATTTGTACAATCAAGAAATTCAGTGAAACGGGATAATCGAACCGAATTAGTCTCACAGTTGACTTAATAATTACAAAATCAATCATTATACTTTGGACCATTAATATAAGGTTTATTATTAGTATACTGAATCTTCATTTTTTGTGTACTGAATGTTCATCTTTATATTACAACAAAAAATAACTTTCAGTATATTAAAAATGAATCTTCAATATACTAAAAATGAACATTTATTCGTGGTCTATAGTATAATTTCACATAATGTTGGGCAATCCACTCCCGAGTTTGACTCCATAAGAAAATTATATATTGACTTTTTATCTTGAATTGGTCAATTATATTAATGATTGTAAATTTTGTCATAAAAAAAAAAAAAAAAATCGGTGAAAGATACAATACCTTAGACCATATTCCATCAGCACCAACTAGAAGATCACCTTCGTGTTGCTGCCCATTCTCAAGAACAACAGTAACCTAAACAACAAATGAAATTAAACTCGATTGAAGAAAAAGGTAAAATCTCATTGCTTCATGGATAAAAATTCGTGAGACATGAAACTAGCTCGATCACTCAAAGAAAATTTTTAAGAGAGGTACTTTCTTATCAATTAAATTTTTAAGAAAATATTTTCAATGAATGCATTTGATGAGAATAATTTTACGGAAAAAATTAATTAACATGTTTGATGTTACTATAAAAAAAAAAAAGAATTAAATTATCTAGAAAATTAAATAAGATGTTTGGTTCGATTGAGCTTTCCTAAGATTTTTTTTTTTTTTTTAAATATCTAACATATTCTTACTATATACAAACATTAATAAATAAACCTAACAAATTATTGAGAGTTAAAAAAAAATCACTTATAAATTAATATACTTCCAAAAAATTTCAATCTGCAACAAAAATATTCAAAATACAAAATAGTATGCATATAAAAAGTGTTGATAGAGACAATTTTTGTTAAAGTGTTATAATATTTCGCAATGGTTTGGAGAGACAAATGTTTTATATTTAATTAAAGTTTGATGGTACCTTATTTCCTTCATCCTTGAAGTTGACCACATTACTTGTATTCATGATAGTATCCTCTCCTATGGCACATGCGAAGATCTGTTGCAAAGCCATGCGGCTGATAACTCTTGTCACTGGAAGTCCCCGTTCGGCTGCAGGACTGAATATATCAAGCTTCACATACCTGATAAACAACAATCATTATAATATGTTTAACGAGAAAAATCCACAATCATTATGTATCTTTGTCATTTTCTGATCCTAACTAGTAAAGACTATGGCCATGTTTGATAAAATAGTTAGTTGATTTTTTACTTATTTGACCACTATTAATTGGTTAATTAGCTTTCTGTAATTTTAAAATGCTAAAATTAAAAAAAAAAAAGCTTCTCAAAGCAACTTTTTCAATTAGCTTTTTGAAAAAAAATAATTATACCAAGCAGCTAACAACTAATTTACCAAGTACTTTTCTATAATCAGCTAATGTTATCAACTAGTTATACTCCTAATTAACCCAATCAGCTATCAGCTCTAGCTAACCGCCATTTACTAAACACGCCTATAAAAATAATAAACCAGCTGAAAAAGAGTTAAACTTGTAATAACTATTTTGTGTTGCAGAAAAAGCACAGAAAATCTAAAGGTGTAAACAAGTCGTCTAATCAGCTCACCAGTTTCCAGAAACGCCATCAACCAAACCATTAACTCTGTCACCAGTGATGCAGCCAGCAGTGATGATCTCCTCAGCAACGTCCATATCAATGGCCTCCAAAGCAGCCAAAGCATTGCTCTGTAGCTGAATTGGACCTCGGAACTCACCCTCCCCTCTGATAGCACTCAAATCCTTCTCAAAAACCACCACCTCAAACCCCTTCTTCTTCGCCGCCAACGCGAAAACCAGACCTCCAACCCCCCCACCAGCCACCAGTATCTTCAGCTTCCTCTTTGATGCAGCTTTAGAGTCCCCAGAAGAAGCCTTCACTCTTGTCAGCCCATTTTCATGGCTTCTCAAACTGCAGCCACTGCGCAAACAAGAACAAAACTCTGCTTCGGATTCTCTATGCACCAAAAAAGGAAACTGGGTTCTCCAAAACAATGCACTTGGGGTATGAATTGAAGTGTACAACACAGATGAATTCATTTTTTTCCTGGAAAAAAGAAAGCCCAAGTTTCGATCTTTCCCGTGTATAAATGCTCTGAGGGTCAGTGAGTTCAAGAATACTTTTTTTAGGTTTTCGTCCAAAATAATAGCATCCAAGAAAAATTAAATAAGCCATATTTGTGACTAATTAAAAGATATTATTGCAGTCCATGTTAATTATGAATTACATTTACCATATTACTCAAATACTAAAAGCATAATTTTTTTCTTGAATAATCATCTAATGACTGAATTCCACGTCTAATGGATTAAAAGTATCAATTAATACTTGCTTATTGCGGTATTGTGGAAGTTTGGTTATTATCGAGAACATTGGTATATTAGGCTTGGATTGGGTTCTTCTGCGCATTGAGTCTTGAAATTAGATTAACTCAATTTACCTTTTCATTGATCTGTGACATGTTTAATGAGATTCAATATACAATCCAGCAAAATTGAAAATATTGAGTTATAAAAAAAAATAGTGATCTGATACAAAAAATTGACGTGTCAAAGCGATATATAACCATATCGTGTATGGCTACGGACAATAACTGTGTGGATCACGGTTCAAAAATGACATTATTTTGTGTAATTTTTTTCACGCAATCCACTATAATATATATTTTTATAACTCATAATGTACATTATCCTAACTCATAAAGTATATTATCTTACTCCAAAAGTTTCATTATTCTCACACATAATGTACATTATTTTAACACATAAAGTACATTATTCTAACACATGATGTATATTATTCTAACACATAAAATACATTATTCTAACTCGTAACGTACATTATTCAAACTCATAAAATTTATCAACATCATTTTAAACAACGATCCACATAACTATGTGAACCACGATCCACACAATAATTTGACAGCTACAGACAAAAAGTACTGCTCAATAGTCAATAACATACTGAAAATGTTTTTGACGTCCCGTCACGGGAGTTTTGCTCATTGATCACGTTGTTGTAAATTATCGGCCTAAAGTCTTATCTTTTTCTTTTCTCTTTTTTTTTTTTTTTAAATATATATATTCCAAGTCATGATTTATGAGGAGATAAATAAAGTCAAATTAATTTCAAAATTTAATGTCAAATTATATATTTATGCGTAAAAAGACTCTCAATCCAAACCTTTAATATTCGTGACAGCAATCAAACTCTCACATTACCGTTGAAAGAAAATTTTAAGTGAAACTTATCATCTACTATACCAATGTTTTTAGTTTTTTATTCTCTTTTACTTTTCCTCTCCCATTGCATATAGAAAAAAAATTATAATTCGTAATAATCATGACATCCATATCACTCAAGCCTCAAAACAAGATGAGTCTTAACACTTTTAGGGTTGAGAATTCAACCTTTTGGAAGAAGATGAGTCTTAACAAGAGTTGTTACGTTGTTAGATTAACACTGAAACTACCGCCATCACACGAGAGATGAGAGGTTACGTTGCCTTAATCATTTTTTCTGTTGACTCTTAGGGGGCGTTTGGTTCACGAAATCTTGGATTACCCCAGGTAATAGGATTACCTCCTGTAAGGTAATGTGAGATTTTGGGAATGTAAGATTATCTTATGTGTTTGGTTTGGATGGTGTAATATAATATTACCTTGTTTGGTTCAGGGTTATATTTTAGATTATATGAATCAATTTACAATAATGTCCTCAGTAATATATATATATATATATATATATATATATATATATATATATATATATATATATATATATATATATATATATAATGTCCGTGTATTTATTTATATCTATGAATGTATATATCAAAGCTTAAATATTAAAAAAATTAAATATATAAATATACACATATGTGTATTTGATTATATAAATATATATTAATTTCATTATTATTATTATTATTATTATTATTATTATATTATTATTATTATTATTATTATTATTATTATTATTATTATTATTAGTTAACAAGGGCAAAGTTGGAATAATTCAAGGTAATCTAAGATTACCTAAAAAAATGGAGGTAATCACATTACCGCCACATCAGCTTTGAGGTAATATGACATTACCTGGTAATCTCATAACTTGAACCAATATAACATTACCAGACCCAGATTACCTAGGTAATCTAAGATGACCCGAACCAAACGCCCCCTTAGGGTATGTTTGGTTCGCACAAAGGGAAACGAAATCAGAATGATAATTAAATACATAGTTGGCAATGGTAATTGGTTTTGATAAAAATATTTTGCATGTTTGGTAGTATGGTAGAATTTAAATGATTACCAATATTGATGTTTGGTTATGTATAACCCTATAAAATGAATAAATGTTTTAAAAATACAAAAAAAAAAATTAAGACAATTGATTCTAATACAATGACATCCAAAGCACTAATATGAACAAACAACAAATCTAAAAGCACTAATCCAAACTTAAAAATTAAATCAATTACCAATAAGATGGAATGATGCCTATTTTTAATTAGGGAATAGAGTTTTTAATTGAATGGGTAATTAAATTCTATAATTGTATTTTAAAAAGTTGTTAGCAAATAATTATTAAGAGTGTGTTTGGTTCATGAGTTTACACACTATGGGAATCATGGTGTTTGGTTGACTCACATAGATGTCCTAATCATAGCATAACTCTCTATTGCATTGTTTATTACGAATCCTATGGAGCCTCTAAACATTTTACTTTCTCGCAACTAATTAATAATCTGTCAAGCATTTTGTGCTCAGAAAGCATATAGTGAATCTTTCATATGAGATGTCATGAGATCGAGCCTCAGTAGAGGTGATGTTGATTTTTTGTGCTTTAACAGGAAAAAGTAATAATCTGATGTGTATCACTCTCACTCCACTATAGTCTGTACCCGTGGCAAGAAAATTATAGTTTGTCTATCAGTCAGTTTTGATTAAATAGTTTTTGTAACAATTTTTATTGTACAAAACACTAAAATTTGAAAAGATGTTCAAAACAGTTGTTTCGATACACTTTTTGATAAAGTCATTTTATATGTAGCAGTTATCAGCTAAGAGTTAATTTTTCAAACATCTTTCTACAATCCACTAATGCTATCAACTAGTCAAACTCACTAACCTAATCAACTAATAACTATCAATTAACAACTATTTGCGAAACATTCCTTTATTATTTGGTGAGTTTTAGACAAATGGAAAAGAAATAAATAGTCTAATGAGCAAAATATCTTAAATATAATAATTATTTTTTAGATAGTATGACGTTAGAGAAAATCTCTAGTAGCAATAAGATGGTGGAATAGTAAAAATTTGAAGGCTCAATTCACAACTAACACATAAGAGTTGATCTGTTCAAAAGAGGCGAATAGTTATAATTCTTGAATGTTCAAACAATAAATTAAATATAACATATTATACCATTTTTAATGTTCTCATTGTGTTATATATATAGATGTATAGATATAGATATAGTTATAGATATAGATTTAGGATAATATGAGAACACTTGCTTAAGTGAGAATGTGAGAACAAATCGTGTGCATTCATCTAATTAATATTTTTTAATGGTCTAGATTAGATTAAGTGTGTGCGAACGCGAATTAAATGTGTGCAAACGCGATTAAGTGTGTTTGAACACATTTAATTCGCATTCGCACACACTTAATCTAATCTAGACCACTACAAAATATACACTTAATCTAATATAGACCATTACAAAATATTATATGGATGCACACGTTTGTTCTCACGTTCTCATTGGATGCACTATCTGTTCATAACTACTTTCTCAACTTACTGAAGCACAAATAGTCAATACTGCTTCTACTGAGGCTCGAAACACCTTCTATATGGGAGTCCAACTTGGTGCCATTAGACCCATAAGACAAATTATTGTATAGACCATGGTCCACATAATATTGTATAGACCATAAAAGAAAGTACATTTTTAATGTACTAAAAATACATTATTTGTATACTGAATGAACATTATATATAATAATATATTTTTTCTGAAAACAAAGTACATTATTTGTGTACTAAATGTACATTATTTTATAATATACAAAATATAGTCCATACAACTTGTGTGAACAATAATAATTAGACCACAAGGTCTTGACTCATTGTGTTATATTTTAGTCATCATTATTTGTATAAATATATTTGGTGAGATAAGATTCATTTAGTCAAACTTGGGTTGGATTTAATCGACTTTTAGTTTGGTTCGTTAATAGCATGGTAAATCCACATTCACTATTTAATGATATGTGTCATATAGTCATAGGCCTTCCTTCCAAAGTCTTAATATAGGAAAAGTATCATGTGCAACATTTCTCACATAATATAAATACCACTACTATTCAATGGTGCACATTAATTTCACATTTTACATGCAAGATGTATTGTGTGCAACGTCTCATCATACAAGAGAGGTATCTTGTACAACAAAATCGATTAAGAGAATATAATAGAAATCAAATTCATAACTTTTTAACACGAAAATTATGATTCATTAATTTTAAAATCTGAATATAAATTTATGATTATCGGTACGTATTTAACTTGATGGTTCACTATGCACACTATTTGGAGGAAGAATATAAGTTTATTGTGTAAGAGAGGGTGATAATAAGTAGTTTCATTCAAACATCCTTCCCCATACATAGTCAAACATTTCATCCCAAAAGTAAATATTTTCTTGATGAGAATTGAGAGGTACGAGAATCCAATTTTAGGCGAAAACAGAGACAGGAACCAAAATTCGCATTTACGTATCTTTCTCTCTTTATTCGTGCAGAGGGTGCGAGAGAGCGTAATAAGTTATGCAGGTAGGCATGCAATTCTCTTTCTCGCTGTTTCTTTTTCTTTCCTCTCAACTCATAACAAAATTGGTTGCAGGGGCAGGCGGCCATTTTTGTTCTGATAGAACTTCTCCCCTTCATCGCCGTTTCTTTACTCCGATCATCTTCTTCTCTCACGGTCTCTTTAAATTTCCTTTCTTTCTGTTCCCCATGCAATTCCTGCCGAAATTGAGGCGAGATTAATATTTTTTTGCTTTTGGAATATATACCAGATTGGAGAAACGTGTTCGACTTCAAGCAATAACTGCAATGAAGGCTTTATCTGTTCCACCTGCCCTGCAAATGGAAATACCCGTCCCAGATGCTCTCGCGTTCAACCCACCAATCCCACCTCAAAGGTAGTTTTTTTTTTTTTTTTGGGTTAAATTTCTTCCATTTTCTGGGATTTTGATTTGATTTTTCTTCTGGGTTTGGGTTGAAAAGGTCAAAGGGCTGCCATTCAACAAGTATTCATGGTTGACGACTCACAATTCGTTCGCGTTGTCCGGGTCGAAGTCAGAGCTCGGGTCTGATATTATTACTCCGACCAACCAAGAGGATACCGTCACCGCTCAGCTCGAGGTCCGTCAATATTTAATTCATATAATATCTTATTTAAGGTGTTTACTTGGATTTGATGAGATTTGTGTTATCAACTTGGTCCGTCAATGATTTTTTCAACATTACTAATAATTAATTTACCAAATATCTTTCTACAATCAGCTAATGTTATCAACTAATCAAACCTACTAGCCCAATTAGCTAACAACTATTTACTAAACACTCCTTTATCTAGTGTTTGTGGGATATAAGGAGGGGGAAGGGGAAGGGGTGGTTTCAAATTTGTTTATGTTATATTGTTATCTAACATCTAAATTATACTATACTATCATATTTTATTTTGAAGAAAAAATGCCACTTAACTGAAGTGCTCCATTTTTTTGCGTTTGTAGAATGGGGTTCGAGGACTTATGCTTGATATGTACGACTTCAACGATGACATCTGGTTGTGTCACTCATTTGGAGGGAAATGCCTCAACGTTACATCATTTGTAAGTTTGTTGATGGTCTTAGTAGCATTTATTTACCGAAATACAAACGAACAAATGTTTTTCTCATTGCCTTTTCCTTGTTCTTTCGTTCTTACCTTGTTCATTCCAGCAACCTGCTATTATCGTGCTGAAAGAAATTCAAGTGTTTCTTGAAGAAAACCCGTCTGAAATTGTCACTATCTTCATCGAGGACTATGTGACATCTCCACAAGGATTGACAAAGGTTTTTGATGCGTCTGGTCTTAGCGAGTACTGGTTTCCAGTGTCTCAAATGCCCCAAAAGGGCGAGGATTGGCCTTTGGTGGATGATATGGTCGAGCAGAATCAGCGGCTCGTGGTCTTTACATCTAAAGAGGCTAAGGAGGTTTCTGAGGGTATTGCTTACGAATGGAGATACGTAGTGGAAAACCAGTGTGAGTTTCACGCCAATATAACATTTTGCTTCACTACTGGAAATTATGGAATTTCTGACCACCTGAAAGTGTTCTTGAGTGGTCGGAAATAGCAATAAAGGTTTTTTCCGGATACCAAAAGTGGTCGGAACAAGGCTTTCGACTTGATTTAAGATCACTTTCAGGTGGTCGGAAATTCCATAATTTCCAGCCGTGGTTTCTCAAATGCCTGTCTAGGCAAATTCTTTGGGGGAATGTGGGCAAACAATGTCCTAGTTTGAACTCTCTTTTTATATGATTGATATACATTTTTATGATTGCCATTTTAGACGAAGGTATATGCACATTTCAAGCATGTAGATCGAGCTTCTAATGCTAATTACTATTTGGTTTTTTGACGTTTTAACACCATATTTGTATGCATTGCAGATGGAAACGATGGAATGCGATCCGGTTCCTGTCCAAGCCGTTCCGAATCGCTTCCTATGAATACACAAACAATATCATTGGTTCTTCAGAACTATTTTCCAGACAACCCCAATGTGACAGCATCATGTGTTGACAATTCTGCTGCACTACTTAGTACGATGGATATCTGTTATGAAGCAGCTGGAAACCGTTGGCCAAATTTCGTTGCAGTCGATTTTTACATGGTATAAGGCCAATAGAAGTGCATGCTCTTCCTTTTCTTTGTTGGGTGACTTTTCTCAGGAACGAGTATGATGTTATTTGTGGCTATCGAGGGTAAGAAAAAACCCGAAAAAAAGAAAAACTTTCCCTAATGTTATATCCATACTTTTGCAGAGGAATGATGGTGGTGGTGTGGCAGAAGCTGTGGATCGAGTAAATGGCCGTTTGACTTGTAACTGTGAGAGTATTGCATATTGCAAGGTTTGTTAATACACCTTGTTGATCATAATAAATGCGCAATTCTACTATCAGCTTAAACTTTTAGTTGAAACGAAACACATCTTTCAGTATTGACGTGAATTTTGTCCATTGTAAACAGTCAAATGGTTCATCTACCACATGTGAAATGCCTGAGCTCTTTCCTCCCCCACCGGCACAGTTAACGCCTGAATCAACATCGACAAATCCCATCAACGATTCTCCAATATGCAGATCGCTGCAGCTTCAGTGGTTGATTGTGACGATTTTCGCTGTAACTCTCTTACTGGGGTCGTAAATTGCAGTGGTTTTACTTGCCACCAACCATGGAAGTCTATACAGTTATACACGTTGAGCTGCATCAAAGCAGGAAAGTCACACATTCTTTGGTATTCACTTGTTAGATTTTTGTTGTTCTCACAAACTCACTGTTGTATGTTTATGGCCTGTGTAATGTATTGAATATAATTAGAAACAGTACATATTAAGTATTGATAGTGGAAGTGATATACTTTTTTAGATCTTGTTGTGACATTATCTTTCTTTTTGGTTCATTTTATATGTTGGGTTTGTTTAACTAGACATGATTAAATTGTATAATGTGATTTTCTTGGTAATATTTAATTTAGTGTTAGTATATCGACTAACATTAATTTAGTTGAAACTACATGGTATTAGATACCCAAAAAAGTTTGAATATTTTGATAATTTTAGAATACCTTAAATATGATATATGGAATTTTTTTTTCCTTTCTCATAAGAGTAACTCCAACAATATTAATTTTTGCTAAAAAAATTTAATATCAATACTGTCAATAAGGAAATAGAGAAGGAAATAGAGTAAAGAAAAAAAAAAAAAATGAACCATATCCTTTTATGTGTCTATTGGTGTGTAGAAGGCGCGCAAAAACTCAAAAAGGAAAAATAACAACCATTCAAGCACAAAAAAGAATTGAAGAAAAAATTTCAATTATCGAGATTGTTCTTAGAGGTTTGAGTTTGAAATGTGCTCAGTGCATGTATAAATGTACAATTTAATATTGATGAGTCTCAACACTAAATTAATTCATTTTACATCATTATAGGTTTAGGGGTGAGTTCATGCGTAATCCACGCGAAACCGGAAAATGTTGATTATAATAAAAAGTCCAATAATGGGGTTAATAAGTTAAACTTTTCAATACAAATATGATTTGTAAACAAATTGATCAAATGAATTTTTAGTTGGATATTGAAATTCAATTTATTTGTGAATTATAAACTCTAGAATTTGCTTTTAATTTGCGTGTAGAACATTTTCTTTAATTTTTGTGTAAAATATTTTGTATAAATCTTCTCCATCCTACTATTTTCTTCGTGTTTTCGGGTGTCGAAATTTTCTTTATTTACGGTCAAATAATTGTCATAAAATGTCCTATAGATCTTCTATGTGTGTCTTTCTACATTATCCTGAGTCATTTCGGGATTATAGGTGCATTGACTTACAAACTACTAGGAATGTTTTGCAGCCACCACATGCTCCTCAAATCACTCCATGGGCAGAATCCATCATACAACATAGTCTGTCGGCGCATCCGCAATAATAACTGGCGGGAGGGGAGCTCCTACCAGACCAGCCCGCGAGTACCGCACGGGACCATCACGCGGGAGGCGAACTCCCGCCATACCTGCCCACAGGTACTACTGGGCAGCAGATTGACGCACTTCAGATACTGTCGTCACTCGACCAGGGGGTGTTCGCGAGGAAAGCCAGTAAAATCTACCACTCCGACACACACTATGGAGACTCGCAGTAGATCTCAGGCACCACCACAACTTTGAGTGCTCAGATTTGTCCCCCATATCTTGTTTGTTACACTCGGGCAATAAAATATCTAGAGTGGCATGAGACTATCAGACTATGGACCAGGAATTCAATATTCTTCTACAAAATCAAACGTGGTGTCTTGTACACTCTCGGGCATATATGACTGTTATCGGATATAAGTGGGTATTCCGCACTAAACGAAAGGCAGATGGTTCTATTGAGAGACACATGCCAAGATTGGTAGCAAAAAGATTCAACCAGGTCCATGTACAGGATTTCTCTGATACGCTCAGTCCAGTGGTAAAATCCACTACTGTCAAGTCGCTTCTTTCTTTGGCTTTATCTTCAGGTTGGGTTATCAGACAACTTGATGTTCATAATGCTTTATTAAATGGAAATTTGTCTGGAACTGTTTATTTGAAACAACTACCTGGTTATATTGATACTCACCCAATCATGTTTGCTTGCTTAAGCGTTCTTTGTATGGCTTAAAACAGGCTCATATAGCTTGGTTTAATTGTTTTCAAACGTTTTTACTTTTTGTTGGTTTCAAGCATAAAAAACAGATATGTCTCGATTATACTATTCACAGGACTCTGCTAATGTATGTATGTGTATATATATATATATATATATATATATATATATATATATATATATATATATATATATTATCTATGTTGATGATATACTTGTGATGGGAAGTGATTATGATCTTGTGATTCGTTTGATAAAAGAGCTATCTGCTGCGTTTAAGATTAGAGATTTTAGTGAACCTCATTTCTTTATTGGGATTGAAACAATTAAATATGTTTGAGGGGAGTATTAAGACTCTTTGTATTTGAGTCATATAACTCCTAATCCTAATATTTCTATGATTTTCTCTCAATCTGTACAAATCACTATTTATCTAATACAATTTATACCGTTCTCATCATCAGACTAATAAATATTTGAGTTTACATTAGTCCGTAATAGACAACTACAATTATTATTATTTTGGGAGCGCATTTTAATTGATAAACCATTAATAATTTGAACTACGACGCGGGGGCTAGGGCTTCGTCATTTGGCGCCAAAATACTTCTTCCCGCCATTACATTAGCCCGCCAATTCCACATTTCTGCTACTCAGATCTGGAGACTGAGCTTTTGGAATAGCGAGGTGGAAAATTGCCCCAAAGCGTTTAGAGAGAGGGAGAGAGAATGTCGGACGATCCTTCAGTTGTAGCCGGAAGGCGGAGGAGCCGGGGAAGCAATGGGACGGCGAGGGCTAGCGCGCTGGAGCGTCTCAGAGCAATCCGTAATGGCGAACGCTGCTCCCGAGAGGCTGTCGAGCTCCAAGTCAAAATGGAGGACCCGATCTACGACGTAGTTGACGATGATGAGTACAAAGCCCTAGTTGCGAAGCGGGGCGAAGAGGCTCGGGGGTTCATCGTCGATGATAATGGCCTAGGGTACGGGGATGAAGGTCAGGAAGAGGACTGGTCTATTGCTGGGCTCCCTGAATCTTCTGACGATTCCGAAGGAGAGACAGAAAGGCGGAAGAAGAAGAAGACATCAGAGAAGAAGGAGCAGCCTACGAAAAAGCCATCGGCCGCACTGTCAGCTGCCGCAGCGTTGATGGGTAGGCAACGGATTTCGAATATGTTTACTTCTTCAGTTTTTAAGAAAAGTAGAGATGATGCATCGAAAAATTTGTCATGTGATAGCATTGTAGATGATGTAATAGCTGAATTTGCTCCTGACGAGGCTGATAGGGAAAAAAGACGGAGGGGAAGTTCTATTTTATCTTTGAATTCGGCTAGTTCAATTAAAGTGAATACAAATCCTTTGCCTACCAAAATTGAGAAGCCGATCATAGACAGTGTAAATTCGATTGTGAATGATGAAGCTAGGAAAGTTCAGCCAATTGTTGAGAGCGTTAGAATTGGCGAGTCTATGATGAATGATGTGCAAAACACCCATTTGGGTGACCCAAAAACTCTGCCGGAGAAAATTGAGAATGTAAGCACTTCCGATGTCGACTTGAAAGAGAAGAAAGGAGTAGAAACATGTGACTTTGCAGTGAATGGAATTGGGGACAACGAGAATGTGTTAAGTGAAGCTGAAGTGAAGGTAGATCCAATGCAGGAGGATAAGGTGTTTACACTCAATGCAAAAATTAAAGCGGAAAGTGATTCTGCTTTAAGTGCAAACGTAGAGTGGCAAGCAGTGAGGAGTTCCGGAAAGTGCTCTGGGTTAAATCATGTCAATGCTGAAGAAACCTCAGACTTGGAATTGGAATCTGATGGATCATTTCCTTTCTTCATACTTGATGCTTATGAGGAGCTTTATGGAGCCAATTCAGGCATTCTTTATCTATTTGGGAAGGTACATTTGAGACTTCCTTTTTGCTTTGGAAGCAACTCCACATTTTGCAGTGGTTTACTCCTGAATAATTGATGGCTATATTATTTTGTTACTAAATTAGGTTATGATATTTTCCATACAAACTTAGTATCTTGGTAGCTGACATCTGAACTGTCATTGTTTTTCAGGTTAAAGCAGGAGGTAGATATCACAGTTGTTGTGTGATTGTAAGGAACATGCATAGATGTGTTTATGCAATCCCAAGTAGCACTTTATTTCCCAAAGATGCAATCTTGAAGCTAGAGAGCGATGTTAAAGAATCTCAAATTTCTGCTGCCACTTTTCGTAGCCAGCTTCATGTAATTACATCAAATGACATGCTTTTCCTTGTATGCTCAGTTCTTGTACTTCTTGCTAATTGTATATTTTCTTGCTGTTAGGAGATGGCATCAGAACTGAAAACAGAATTGACGAAACAGTTGGTGGAACGCAATGTCTCGAGTTTTAGCATGGCACCTGTTAAGGTTTTTGAGGACACAACTTGCAAATCTGATACTTTGTGACAATTACAATATCCTCATCCTGTTGTAGTGTTTTGCTGGCTATTTACTTTGTTCTACTACTATCATTTTGCAGCGAAATTATGCATTTGAAAGGTCTGACATACCTCACGGGGAGAATTATGTCCTTAAGATTAACTATCCATTCAAGGTATATATATAAGTCTCATATTTGCTATATTTGCTATATTTTTCAGTGGTTATCAGAGCAGAACTTGGCTTGATTTAAAACAATGAAGCCTGCTCTTAGTTCTGACAAATCTCAAAAGAAATTGACAAAGTCTGGCTTTTCTAGTAGTTAGCAGTAGTTATGTTCGGGTATGCATGACCATATTTGAACTTTCTTATTCCAGGACCCACCACTTCCACCAGATCTCAAGGGAGAAAACTTTTGTGCTTTACTTGGCACCCATAGCAGGTACTTGGTTTGTGCAAATATGCCAGAGATTGAAACTTTTCTATCAGCATCTCTCTTTATTCTAGCATCTCATGCCTGCATTAATCTTTGGAAAAGATTGATATGCAAAGTATGCTATAAAAATTTCTTGCCTTGAAATTTGGATTGTTTATCTGCTCCCAGATTAGGAATGAATGCCTGTATCTGTAAAATGTTCTGTATGTGTGTCGACTATCCTCTGCTGCTTGACTCCAATGTATTTTCACTATTTGCAGTGCACTCGAGCTCTTTCTTGTGAAGAGGGAAATCAAGGGTCCTTCCTGGTTATCAATTTCAAAGTTTGCTAGCTGTCCAACCCCTCAACGTGTGAGGCCTCAAAAGCTACTTATCCCCCATTTATGTTATTGAATTGTAGTTTTCACAGGCTATATAAGTAAATATATGTTTTACAATCTGCACAGGTAAGCTGGTGTAAATTTGAGGTTACTTTGGATAGTCCAAAGGACATCCAAGTCCTCAAAGAGAACATTCCAGAGATTCCTCCAGTGGTTGTTGCAGCAATAAATGTGAAGACTGTTATCAATGAAAAACAAAATGTCAATGAAATTGTATCTGCATCTGTTGTCTGTTGTCACAAGGCCAAGGTACAATCTATTTTACTTGTTACTTGCTTCTTCTGATTATGATGAATCAAACTAGCTACATATTTTTGTTTTTTCCCCACTTATAATTTATGTTTGCATAGTAGTGCTAGTACATAGGTCATAACCACTTCTGCGGTTTACTGCAAACTGTAAGAATTAAGTTGAATTTTGCTAAAGGCAACTGAATGCATTCACCATATCCCTTTCAGATTGATGCTCCAACTTTAACCTCTGAATTAACAAGACTGGGGATGCTTTCTCATTTTACTGTTGTGCGGAAGCTCGAGGGAAGCATATTTCCAATGGGATTTACCAAGGAAGCAACAGATAGAAATACAAAAGCTGGAACTAATATTATTAGTTTTGAAAGCAGGCAAGTTCAGCCTACAGATAGAATTATTTTCTATTGACAAGCTTTTATATCTATGTTTCCATATTCTCTCTAGTCTTTCCTGCTGTTGTAATTTAAGTTCTTGACTATGGATTCTCTTTGAAATACCAGTGAAAGAGCTTTGTTGAACCGTTTGATGATTGAGTTACACAAATTGGATAGTGATGTGCTTGTTGGGCACAATATATCTGGGTTTGATCTGGATGTACTGCTTCATAGAGTTCAGGTTTGTGTATGCCTTAAATGCTCAAATTTACTGCATACTGATTCCTGTTATAAATAGATAAGGTTTGATTGCAAGAAAAAACAAGAGTATTTCATTTTCAAAAAAATTTCCTTTTTACTCACGAAATGGATTCTGTTCCAAATTGTTTATTGATGCATGGGGCCATTGGTGCATTGTCTGTCACCCATGACAAAAATGCTTTGACACACTTTAAACCTTTTCCAAAGTCTGATGTTATCTAATTAAAGGGGCTGATGCTATTGCAGGCATATTTTTACCATTGTATATTTATGGATCTTTCCAAAGCGTTATGCTAGGATGCTCAGAATTTCTTACATTATCATGCAGGCATGCAGAGTACCAAGCAACATGTGGTCAAAAGTTGGCCGTCTTAAACGTTCTGCCATGCCTAAGCTTACTAAAGGAAGTAACATTTTTGGCTCTGGAGCAAGTCCAGGGATCATGTCTTGTATTTCAGGGCGTATCCTGTGTGATACATTTTTATGTTCTCGTGACTTATTAAGAGAGGTAGGATTTCTATAAACTAAATTATTTGTTTCTTGCTATGTTTTGATATTTATTATAGTGTGTAACTATTATATAATACTTGCTTTCAGGTTAGCTATTCCTTGACACATCTCACAAAGAATCTGCTAAATAAAGATCGCAAGGAAATTTCTCCACATGATGTTCCTCAAATGTTTCAGGCTTCTGACTCGCTTATGAAACTAGTGAGTTCTCATTTCTGTTTGATGCATTTGTGGTTATCTTTCTGAATCAGCACAAGAGATCTTGTTTGACTGCATTATCAAGAGAGAGAAAAGTGAGCCTACTTGGACCATCTCTTGATTGCCTAATTTGTAGGCTAGCTTTTAATGTTGCTCACTATTGCATGAGGTCCCTGGTGATAGTGTTAACAAGTATAAGGAGCCTATTAATTTTGAGAATTTGAAGTATTATGCATGAAGTAGCCCTTTAACTGAGATAGTGGAGTACGTATCTAGTTTCATGTCACAGGGATGAGCCGGATGTTTTCTATTTAGAATGCTCAATTTTGTCATAATAATATAACTTTTTGCTGAGAATTTCATTGTGCCTTACAGCTTATGTGATTTTGCAGATTGAATATGGAGAAACAGATGCATGGCTGTCAATGGAACTCATGTTTCATTTGAGTGTTCTTCCACTCACTCGTCAGCTAACTAATATTAGTGGTAACCTTTGGTGTAAAACTCTCCAGGTGAATCATTGTATCACCCTTTCAACTGTAGCTCTTCTCAAATGAACATCCATGTATACATCATAGTTAATTAACAAATATTTATAAAATTTCAGGGGGCTAGGGCCCAAAGAGTGGAATATTTATTGTTGCATGAATTCCACAGTAAGAAATTCATAGTGCCAGACAAGTTTTATTCTAAAACAAAGGAATTAAAGTTGACAAAGCGTAAACAAAACCATGGTGGTGATGGAATAGAAACTGATGAAATCAACATTGAGGACCCAAGTTTTGGAAATGAGCCCCCAGAGATTGAGACTGGGAAAACCAAAAAGGGACCTGCCTACTCAGGAGGTTTGGTTTTGGAGCCAAAACGAGGGTTATACGATAAATACATATTGTTACTGGACTTCAACAGTCTGTACCCATCTATTATTCAGGTAACCTTATATTCATTGGTCTCCCCCACCCCATTTCTCTATTTAATCCCTCCTAATCTCTTTTCTTCTGAAAAGATAAGTACTCCTGGATCTCCATTCCCTGGTTGAAAAGGTGGTGTAAGAATCTCACTCTCTTTTCTTTCAGGAATACAATATTTGTTTCACCACTGTTGAAAGATCTCATGATGGATTGGTTCCTTCTTTACCATCCAGTAAAGAAACTGGAGTCCTACCAAAGGTAAAGCACCTGGTATTGCTATTGGTATTTATACTTGAGAAATGGAGATTTGAATCTGAAAAATATGATACCAAAGTCCTTTATTGAAGATATCTGTGTGATTTGAGTTATTTCTTTTATGGAGTCTAATGATGTGATGTGTATGTGCACCGACTGTCTGATATCATATGTAATACTGGAAACTCTAAACAAGTGTGTGAGCAAGGACTAAATATTATTGAACTTTTTGCAATAAACATGCATTTCAAGATTGTCTTTATTTTGCTGCACCTAAAGGAAACCTTAGGGGTGATCTACTGATTTTGGTGTAGATTTGGTCATATCTTGTAATGTGTATAACCTGTGATTTGGATAATGTACCATCCCACCAAAATATTAAAGAAAACCCTGTTCTACTTCATTCTTGAGTATTTTGTTGAAAAAAAAGGTTTCCTTCTTTCTCTTTCTGAACCTTTTTTCTGCATGTATTTAGTTGCTTAAAAACTTAGTTGAGAGGAGAAGACAGGCAAAAGCATCATTGAAAACAGCATCAGGCCTTCAAGCCCAGCGGTTTGACATACAACAACAAGCACTCAAATTGACAGCAAACAGGTATTTGTCTGGTCATTTTGCCTCAAGGTTAACCTCTCATCTTTAGGCTTTATTTGAGCTGTGTTTTGATTCGAGCTCAAATTTTGAGCAGGAGTCCAATGACATAATAAATCAGTTATTCAGTATGATTTGAGAACTGGATTAATAAATTATCTGAAGTTCCTTCTAGTTTTAAGAAATAAAAAAACAACTCAATTCTACCTATGCAAGTATGTAAACTAACTATACATTTAAGCCAAACCTTCCCTATGAATTTGAGACCAAGACTTTCCAAGCCTAATCTCACAATCCTAACACAAATCATGCTCAACGAACCAAATTGAAATTTATCCTTAGAGTGAATTATTTGTTTAATGCTTAGTTCACTTGCCATCATAGTTGTCTTGGAGTTTCAGTTCTCTGACTTAACCATTTCTGATGCAGCATGTATGGTTGCCTTGGGTTCTCCAATTCTAGATTTTATGCTAAGCCTCTAGCAGAGATGATAACACAACAGGCAAGAAATATGTGCTTTGCCAACCTTCTATTTGCTTATATATTCCAGTAGTAAATATTGCTGTCTGTGAGGTTGACTGACCCTGCTTTTCTGTAGGGAAGAGAGATACTGCAGAGTACGGTTGACCTTGTCCAGAATATACTGAACTTAGAGGTAACATTTAGTGGTTTAAAAAAAAATAAAAATTCTGTTAGCATTATTCCCTGAACATCTTTTTTTTTTTTTTTTTTTTTTTTTTGTTTTGTTTTGTTTTTTCCAATTGTTCAGGTTATTTACGGTGATACAGATTCAATTATGATTAATAGTGGGCTTGATGATATTCCAAAAGCAAAATCAATAGCAAGGAAAGTCATTGAAAAGGCATGTTCTGTTAGTCTTGATTTTTGAGATGACATTCATTTTCTTGGTAAATTTGGGTTTTTGTTTAAATTTGTTCTCAGCCTTTTTGTGATATGTGAATCACTTTTCTTTTGTAGGTTAACAAGAAATATAAATGTTTGGAAATTGATCTTGATGGTTTGTACAAAAGGATGCTGCTACTCAAGAAAAAGAAATATGCTGCTGTAAAAGTACAATTTAAGGATGGAACACCTTATGAGGTAGCAATTATACTTGAATACATTTTTATTAAGTTAACACTATGCTTGTTGGAATTAATTACAACTACCAGCTTGTCACTATATTGCTATGCCATCCACAGGTAATTGAAAAGAAAGGTCTTGATATGGTTCGTCGTGACTGGAGCTTGCTATCAAAGGAATTGGGAGACTTCTGTCTCAGTCAAATACTATCTGGAGGGTACATATCTTTGTGAACTACTGAACTCTTCTGTCTTTCAGTCTTCAGTTACAAAAGATGATCTGGTGATTTACTGCTTGCAGATCTTGTGAAGATGTTGTTGAGTCAATTCATAATGCTTTAATTAAGGTAATGTTGTATGTGAAATATCAGAATTAAACACGGGGATTCTCTAAGTTGTAATTACAAGTTTTTGCATTATTCGGTCTAAATCTTGTTCCAACAAACAAAATCTCATGAGAAGATGAATATGGCAATGATTAGTGGAAACTTGTACTCCACCCACATTTTATTTGTCCCATTTAACTGTTTTAATAGGTCACTTTACCAAATTCCAGCATCAGGGAGGCCTATAGTCCATTTCTATTTTGGCGTAATGGCCAGGCTTTGTAATATTAAATCTAATAGATTCAGTACTTGCATTTCAGGTACAAGAGGATATGAGGAATGGGCAAATAGAACTGGAGAAGTATATAATCACCAAATCATTAACTAAACCACCTGAAGCATATCCTGATTCAAAGAATCAACCTCATGTTGAAGTAAGTCTGTTAATGCCTATCTATTTTTCCAAGACTTTTCATACATATAGCCTGACTTTCAATTTTATACATTTTCTTTCTTGTATTGTCTATAGGTAGCACTTAGGTTGAAGAAAAGTGGTTATATTACTGGCTGCTCTGCTGGTGATACTGTACCATATATCATCTGCTGTGAGCAGGTTTGCCACACGCAACTGCTGTTATCCTTTTTTCCTATATTTTTTCTTGTCAGTGCCATTTACAGTGAACTCCAGCTTTGTTGGATTCCTGTTATGTACAATTCTTGAATGTTGGCTTCTACTTTATGTCAATAGGGAAATCATTCGGGTAGCTCTGTGGGGATTGCTCAGCGGGCAAGGCATCCTGATGAGCTGAAGAATGACAATGAGAAATGGATAGTTGACATTGATTATTACCTTGCACAACAGGTGTTTATACTAATGAGGCATTTCACTTGGTTCTTTACATAATGCATTCTCCTGGTTTCCATACTGAAACCGTCAATATTGCAGATACATCCTGTGGTATCACGTCTCTGTGCATCAGTTCAGGGAACCAGCCCTGCTCATTTGGCTGATTGCTTAGGTCTTGATCCATCCAAGGTAAATCACTATTTTTCTTCCAAAACCATTGGTTTATGGCTTGTTATCATTTCTGTATTTGTTTTCCACTTATACTATATCATAACTTGTGGGATCTTTTTCAGTTCCAAAACAAATCAAGCAATGATGTCAAAGATGATCCTTCAAGTTCACTCTTGAGTGCAGTAGATGATGAGGAAAGGTAATCAATTTATTGCCTACAAAGTATTTTATGCAACTCAACAGACAGCATGAACATTTCTATACGATTTTTTAGTTGAACAAAGAAAATTGTTTTGGTGCAAGTATTGACACATGCCTTTCATGATCAAACTTGCAGATATCGAGGTTGTGAACCGTTGGTCTTGGCATGCCCTGGCTGCTCTTCTTCCCTTGAATGTCCGCCCATATTTAACTCCATATGTTCGTCCATAAGTCAGAAGCCAACAGACCCGCAAGCAGAAAGACCCTCCATTGAGTTTTGGCACAAATTAACCTGCCCTAAATGCCCAGAGGAGGCTGCTGTGGGTAAACTGTCGTCTGCTTTATTAGCAAACCAGGTAAAAATCTTTTACTGCACTCCCCTCCCTATAAAAAACTCAGAAACGGACATACACTGGACTACACTACTCCACTGCTAAGAAATGTGGGCATGAGTTTCTTTATTTACTTGATTCTGGCAGGTGAAGAGGCAAGCTGAGAGGTTTGTTTCAACATATTACAAAGGAATAATGTTGGTATGCACTTTCTACCTTAAAAAAATTCAATCTTTATATTAAAATTGCCATTTGAAGGTAGCAATCCATCCTAACACTGAATTATATCAGTGCGACGATGAAACCTGCAACTACACTAGCCGCAGCCTGAACCTGCGTGTAATTGGCGGCTCAGAGCCTGGAACTGTTTGTCCAAACTATCCTCGTTGCGAAGGGCATCTCCTAAGAAAGGTATTCTTGGAAACCTTATTTACTATCAAGCTTTCATTTTGAATGCCCCTACCAATCTACCATTACTGATGAAATATGTAAAATGCATTGCTTCCCAGTATACAGAAGGTGATCTGTACAAACAGCTTTCATATTTCTGCCACATTTTGGACACTGAGCGATGCATCAATAAGGTCTTACTCCTTTCTAATTTAGTCTTTTACTTTTAAAGTATCAAATTTTGTCATATTTTAACGATTCACACAGAGAGGGAAAAGCTAACGATGAATTACAATTAGAAATGATTCAATACTTAAATATTAAATTTTGTAGCTTTAAAAGTTGATGACTAATTGAAAATGAGTGATAGTCAGATGATTAAATATTAATGTGGATGGTATGTGGAGATGCAGGTGGTGGATATTAACATGAAAATGCAAGTGGAGAAGGAAGTAGCTAATATCCGGCCTCTGGTTGAGGTAGCAGCATCTACAGTGGAGAAGTTGCGCGACAGGTGCGCTTATGGATGGGTGCAGCTGAAGAGCTTGACGGTGGATATTTGATCTGTGTATAGTGTGCATGTATATATATATTGACGTTTGTAACACCTCCATATTAAATGGTTACCTTGGCTCAACAAAAACTAATCATAAGAATTGCAATTTTTTTTATTACCTTAGAGTAGATACATTTTAACTAAGGGTGTGCTTGATTCATGGGTTTACACCTTTTTTTTTTTTTTTTTTTTTTTTTTTTTTGAAACCCAAAAACAATCAGAATATATTAAAAAATCCCAGTTCAAACACAATGAGTAGAAATAAAGCGGGGAACATAGTCAAAAGATTCAAACACGTCATCCCCTTATACGGTAAAGCATGTTTAGCTAAAGAGTGAATCATATTATGGGCTCGAGGCACAAAATGAAATACCGTAAAGGGCATAAGACGAAGCAAAGTGCAGATCTCTTCAACAATGAATCCAAACGGCGTCTTTGTTGGACCAGCATTGGCGGCTCTCGTTACTGTTTGGGCATCCGTCTCAAGCACAAATCGCTGCCATCCATGTTCCTTTAACCAGCTAAGAGTTTCTCGAGCGGCTAACGCTTCAGCTTCGCGCACAACATACAGACCGTCCTTAGCATATATTATCACACTAAGGCAGCATCAACAGAAATTCGCACAGCCCCCTGGGGGAGTAGGTGATCTGCAGTGGCCATCGTGCTTTGAGAGGGACTGTTTGGGTGCTTGCGGACATCCTTCCAGTTGGATAGGAAAGACATAGTTTGCTGTACCAAAGCTACTGGAGGTATCATTTGTTGTTGCCAAACCATTGAGTTCCTGTTCTCCCAAAGCGCATAGCATATCGGTACGACTCGTTCAAGCGTTTTCTTGGCCAGACTCGTCCACATTTCCTCGAGCCACCCCTCAAGCGTATCAGCATAAGATAGAGCCCATTGGTCATTGACAACATGCCAACACTAACGAGCAAAGACACAGTTAGCAAAGAGATGAATAATACTTTCGTTTTCCAGGCCACATAGAGGACACACAAGATCACAAGGAACCCTTTTGGCTGACAAAGCATCTTTTGTAGGAAGCCGGTAAGGTGCATAGGCTCCAGAAAAAACATTTCATTTTTGGTGGGATATTCAATTTCCACAGAACCAACCACACCGTACTAGCCTCCCCCATCTCACCCGAGGCTATCCTATATGCGCTCTTTACCGAATATTCCCCTCTCTCATCTCCCCTCCAGAAAATAGAATCATGAGCACTCAAAGTAGGAATTGGGACGCTCATTATTTGATACACATCCCGCTCACAAAAAAATGTCACATAATAGCTCATGATCCCACGACTTTGACCCCAACCTAAAGAGAGAATGGACAGCAGGGTTTTGTTCAACACCCGAACCTGATTACAAGGGTCCCCCCATACACGAATAGTGTTTCCATCTCCAACTCGCCACCTCACTCCCTTACCCAATAAGCTCCTAGTTTCCCAAATACTAGACCATACAAAAGAGGGGTTTGAGCCCAAACATGCTTCAAGGAAAGAGCAAACCGGGAAATACTTTGCTTTAAAGACACGAGTGACCAAAGCATTTGGGTTTGTCATAAACTTCCACCCTTGCTTTCCCAACATAGCCATATTCATTTCCCGGACACTACGGAAACCCATTCCCCCAAGTTGCTTTGGCCTACATAAGTCCCCCCAAGTACTCCACCTTATTCCCCCTCGTTCCCTACGCTCACAACCCCACCAAAAGGAATTCATAAGGCGTTCAATCTCAATACACAACCCCTTCGGAAGGAGGAAAACATTCATAGCATAATTCGGTAAACTTTGGAGCATTGTTTTTAGAAGCACCTCACGCCCTGCCCTTAACAAGTACTGGTTCCGCCAATTCAATATCTCCTCTTTTTCCAGCCGATGTAGCTCAGACGGTCAGACCTCTGATTTTTAGTAAAGTTCTAAACCAATTAAAGTACAAAGAGGATTTTTAGTAAAGTTCTAAACCAATTAAAGTACAAAGAGGTCAACAATACTTCTACTAGAGCATCCACACTAGTGGATAATATGGAGTTATTTCAGTTTGAATTCTTTCCAACTAGAGTTAATAGCTAATGTGGGGTGGGGATAATTCAAAAATAATTCTCCTGCAAATGAAGGCATAATGTCAAAAATATTTAATAAAAAAATAAAAGAAGAAGACGCGCACAGCCTGGGCAAAAGCCGGGCACGTGGCGGTGGTGCGTCAGGCGCGCCTGACAGCATTAATTTTTTTTTTTAAAATCAATTTTCTATTTTTTTTTCTCTCCCCTCCCCCATTCTCTTTCCTAATCACTCTTACATTATCCCCACATTCTTCCCAACTAATGTGGATGCTCTGAGGCTCAATCTCATGACCTCATATGAGAGAGGTCACTACATGCTTGGTTTTAATTTTATTATATAAATATATATAATAAAAAAATTCATCGGTACATTGCACAGGTAATTGTGCAATTATTTGATCAAATTCAAACAAGGATAACATAAAAAAAAAAATCCATAATCGATACAACACATTTCGTCAATTGCACTATATAATATTCGTTGTTATAATATCAATCTAAATATTCTTAAAATAGTATATCAAATCCATTTCGTGTAATGCACATGTGAAAATACTACGGAGTAGTTTATATTAAAATGTGAATCACGATTAATGATGTAATTTGTTTCCAGGTTAACCTTAAAAGTGGATCTTAAAACATAGTTTATATTAGAATGTGAATCACAATTAATGATGTAATTTGTTTCCAGGTTAACCTTAAAAGTGGATCTTAAAACATAGTTTATATTAGAGTGTGAATCACATTAGAATATGCATTGATTTTTTTTTATTTTATTTTTTAAAGAATAAGGGTCAAATAGGCTACTCAATTGCAATTAGGCCATCAAACTAAAAAAGAATGCAATTGAGTCTCTGAATAACGCAAACTCATGCAATTCATTCCAAAAATGACCTATTTACCTGTAAAGACGGTTACCGAATTTATTTATTTATTTTTTAAAAAATAATGTTAAATAAAAACATCTAAAATTTAAAAAATAAAAATAAAAAAGTACGTCATCTTCGCCGGAGACGAAGAAGTCTTCTTCGTCTCCGGTAGAGACGAAGGGATCTTCGTCTCAGACAGTCTCCCTGGTCGCCACCCCTTCGTCTCCGCCGGAGACGAAGAAGCGGCGGAGACAAAGGTTTATTTATTTATTTATTTATTTATTTATTTTATATTTATAATTATTAATAAATATTTTTAAATTCGGTAACCGCCTTTCAGGTACACAAGTCAATTTGGATTGAATTGCATGAATTTACGTTGTTCAGAGATCCAATTGTATTCTTTTTTAATTCGATGACCCAATTATAATTTAGTGCGCAGCTGACTGATCTATTTGATTTTTTTTTTTATTTTTTTTTTAAAGCTTAGGTATATGCATTGATTTGAAATTCAACTGAGGAGGTGGAGTAAACTTTGAAATATTTTTTATTATGGGCTCTTAAAGCCCATTTGAAATGGGCTGAAACTATCAACCCAAAAACGAAAAATTTTATTATTAACTGTTGTCAGTTTGTCACTTTACGTAGCGCCGGGTCTGGTCAACTAACATGCATGCATTTGCATCCTCCAAAAGTCTCGCTGGCACACCAACCCTGACCTCACCCTCTCAAATATGCCTTTGCCACCATGTGCTTATGAATCTTCCTCTTATGTCTTAATCATACTTATAGTTTTACCAATTATAATATACTACTTGACTAGTTGTTAGGCAAGACATATGATTGAAACTCGACAATTGTAATGTGAAAGTTATATTTAATGTGGGGATTGAGCTCTTTATGAGTATCAGATACTAGTCCAAAGTTTAAACTTTAGACGCATATTATTCGATTTTATTGATATTTTTTATACTAGTGACTGTTAAATATTTAAATCATTATAAATTATCCGTCTATTATCATGTTAGGTCAGAGTGTGAAACTTGGCACTAAAGATTTTGCTTTTGTGGGCAAGTTTTGCCAATAATATTACCATAATTTTGTCATGCCACCAACCCCCAGCTAATTATTGTCTTTAGATTCCTCGAGCCACATTTTAAGCTAAACTATTCCGTTAATTATTGACATTAGAATGTCTTAATTCAATCAATCCCTCAACAGATAATTAGTGTTTCATATTAAAAGATAAATTTCATCACTTTTTAAATATCAAATTATCGCCACATACAAAACTAATATTTTTTTTTTTAAAAAAAAAAAAAAAAAAAACATCAAGTACCATTACTGAGTAAAAGAACAAATCACAAATATAAAGAGAAAAAACGGTTTCAAACTCCCTTACCAAATTGAGAGTCCGATCCATAGCCTTAACAAGAACACGGGGTTACATGGTTACAATCAATATAAGAAAATCAATTCTACTATTATTAAGACTGTTGGAGATAAATTATTTCTACCATTTTCTAATGAAATTTGGTCACTATTATTTGCAAAATAAAGTACATTTTATTAAATAAACAAAGAAATAAAATTGCTCGAGTATTTGATTTGGTAACTATGAGGTTTCAAGTTTAACTACATGTAACTTATGCTGATTTATCTTCTCGTAATCCTTTCCGACCTAAGGTTGCAGGCGAACTTCACCTCAAATAATGCATTTTTTGGTAGCCTTGACAAGCTTTTTTTTAATTTTATTTTTTATTTGAAGGAGTTGGTGGGAAAAAATAGTCAAAATTGGAGTTTGGTGATTGTGCTAATTTTGACGCAAGCGAAGTTTGCACGTTTCCCCCCTGTTTGTTGTGTGTATGAAGGAAAAAGGTCGGGTCACCAACTTTTGAACAGAGAACTAATCCAAACGCTAACCTATCTATATTCCTCCCACCTTCCCTTCCCTTCCCTATTATATATACTGCTAAACCACTACTCATCTTCCATCATCACTTCAATATTCTACCTACCTATCTGCTTACTATACAACAACAATCTCCGATTCCCCGGCGGCCGGCCTTCACAGTTCACAACCCATCCAAATGGCAACCGATGGAGATGCTGGCAGACACCAAGAAGTTGGCCACAAGAGTCTCTTGCAGAGTGATGCTCTTTACCAGGTATTCTATCTCATCTATATATATATATATATATATATATATATATATATGCCAGTTTAATTTACTTAATTTGTATGAATGGATGAATGAATGTATGTGTGTTTGTTTTGTTTCAGTATATTCTTGAAACAAGTGTGTACCCAAGAGAGCCAGAATCCATGAAGGAGCTCAGAGAGATAACAGCAAAACACCCATGGTAATCATCATATCACTAATTTTTTTTTATAAAAATTTGAGTGATGAAGAAAACTCGCAGTCACTATCCAGAGTGTGTATACTGGTTAAACCTCAACTTGTGGTTCTAATCACAAAGAAGTAAACCACCCTTTGTGACTCTAGCTGACAAAGAAATTGTCCAGAGTTGAAATCAAGAAGACCAATAAAAGGTTTCTGATAAATTAATGAATTTCAGGAACATCATGACAACCTCAGCTGATGAAGGGCAATTCTTGAACATGCTTCTCAAGCTAATCAATGCCAAGAACACCATGGAGATTGGCGTTTTCACTGGCTACTCTCTCCTCGCCACCGCCCTCGCTCTTCCAGATGACGGCAAGGTAATATAATCAAATCAAAATCCAATCTTTTCCGCCTCCAAACCATCCATCCATATGATGATCACAGATTATATATAAAGTCGGGTAATAAATGTTGTATGTTTCTGCAAGCAGATTTTGGCCATGGACATTAACCGGGAAAACTACGATTTGGGTCTTCCGGTGATCGAAAAGGCCGGCGTTGCACACAAGATTGATTTCAGAGAAGGGCCGGCGCTCCCGGTTCTTGACCAGATGATCGAGGACGGAAAGTATCATGGGACATTTGATTTCATTTTCGTGGACGCCGACAAGGACAACTACATTAACTACCACAAGAGGTTGATTGATCTGGTTAAGGTTGGGGGACTCATCGGCTACGACAACACCCTGTGGAACGGGTCCGTGGTGGCGCCGCCGGACGCGCCGCTCAGGAAGTACGTCAGGTACTACCGGGATTTCGTGTTGGAGCTCAACAAGGCGTTGGCCGCCGACGACCGGATTGAGATTTGCCAGCTTCCGGTGGGCGATGGGATCACCCTCTGCCGCCGTGTCAGCTAAATATATATATACACATTCTTGCCGATGACCACAATTTCCCTTTGGTGTTTTTTTTTGAACGTTTTTATGAATTTCCCATTGTAATTCTCAATATTTTAAATGTTGGTTAGAGGGAGGAGGGGGTTCTGAAAAAACAGCCCATAAAATTGTTGACTTTTGTGAATAAATTGCATTTTTCATTTTGCTTATTTTATTGGTCACCAACTCTTTTTTTTTTTTTTCCTTCTTTTTTAATAGTAGTAAGTATAAACTAAACAACAATAACACACAAGATTATATATATATATATATATATATATATATATATATATATATATATATATATATATATATATATATATATATATATAGAAGAGCGCTCATATGCGGCGGGGTCTTACGGTGCGGCGGTGCGGTCAAATTCCAGAATACACCAACAGTGTTAACAATATGCACCAACAGTATAATAAAAACACACCCCAATGAAATGTAATAAAACATCACAAAATACACCACAGACTCAAAAAAACACACCATATAACTCACCACCCCCAATGGTGTATTTCCGAACAGTGTATGGTGTTTTTACTCACACCTAATGGTGTGTGTTTGGTGATTCAGGGCTCTGTTTACTCTGTTTTGTGTGGTGTATTTCCTAACGTTGATGGTGCATATTTGGTGAACTATTGGTGTTGCCGCACCGCAAGAAATAACCGCACCGTAAGACACTGCCGCACCTGAACCCGCCTCTATATATATAGGACGTACAATATTTCCTTAACAATTATGACATTCTATTATGGGCACATTCTCAGGCCAAGAATGCAATAATTTAATTCCATGATTTTTTATAGCAAATTATGGCAGATTCTCAGACCAAGAATGCAATAATTTAATTCCATAATTTTTTATAGCAAATTATGGCAAACTTTTAAGTCTCATTTTATTCTGTATTTTTTAAAATGTCATTTAAAAAAAATAGTGGTAATGAATAAATCGTTATTTTTCCTTTAAAAAAAAATAAAAAATTCCTTAATGTCAATTGATTATGGATGTGTAACATGAATACATACTCGTTTTCTACAACTAAACCACACCTTTATGTATTGAACATTTGCTTTAATGTTAAAAGTCCTTTGATTTTCAAAAAAAAAAAAAACAAACAAAACCACACCTTTATAGTATTAGAAAAGATAATTGAGTGGATGAACATGATTCTCGACATAAATATTATAAAGTTAAAAAAGTTTTCTCGTAAATATATCATATTTGTCTTTCCAAAATGCAACCACTTTACCTCTTAGCTAGGCTAAGCGTTAAATTCCCAACCTAACATGCACCTTAAACCTATCAAACCAACACCCAATTATAGGTTATGCAGCTACAACTAATTGTTATATTACAAGGTTCAATACGCCACGCTACGTAAACTTGATAGTAACAAATACTCTTTAACAAACTATCACACTTCACATGTGACTATATTATACTCTGATCCGTATCTATTAACAAATAATAACATATCATGTCACCTAAACACAAATGAATCTTAATCCATGATATAATATAATGCAACAAATTATACCATGAACAATGATCCACATTGCACGATTTTGACTCCTAATACAAGTTCATTGAAATGTGGATCATTGTCCATGGTAAAATGAGATGGTCCCTCCTAATTTTCCTTTGAAAATGATGTTTCTGTCCAGGGAAAAAAATGATAGAAAGAATGTGTAGTTATGTAAGCTTCTTAGAACTTGATTGCAGATCCTTTGCCCAGGCAGGACATGTGTCTGGGTCATATTGATAATCATACAACAGTTCATCTCCAGCATTCATATCTTTTAACGCAAATATGCCCAGCCTGTGATCTCCGCCCACTACGATGATCTATCGAAAATGACCCACCGGCTACTATTAGTTGAAAACACTGAAGCAGACACGGAGAAAGGGAGCAGTTTACCTTTGCAAAGCAATTAGGATCAGGAGAATGATTGATGAACTTCAGTTTGTTACCCCTTCTATAAGCATCAATCACGAGCTATATACAAACAAAAGAATGGGGTCAATATATATATAGTGGGTGGGGTGCAAGTTGTTTGTCCTACCTGATCATTTAGATTGAAGAGGAACGAACAGTTTTGACGATCATAGACCTTGCCATGCTTATCAGCTTCAAAGTGTGAGATTAATTCACCAGTGTACCCCCCAATGAATTCATTCTTTGAGACACAAATCACACAATTCTGAATCATGCATCCAAACACACATCTAAGATTACAACTATTTGATTTAAAAAGCAGGAGAATCACGTTCACGTATTACCTTTAAGAAAGCTCCCCATCCAGCAATATCAGATCTTCCAAGAAGAACCTGAACGTAGAATACAAAATGTAACAAATAAACAAAACAAATTGAAGACAAAAGGCTGCAAAATGTAACATGCAAGCAATATTGTGAAAACTTTTCACTTGATTACTACACTAGCAAATAGGCTGAGAGAAAAGGGAAACAAAACAAAGAGAAACATAACAAATATACTCCAGTATAGAAAATTGAGAAAGTATATTGAACAAATACTACACTGTAATAGTACTCAAAAAAATAATGTGTTTACTATGACATTATACTAATTTGAATAGCTTAGTTAAGCGTGCACAAATATCAAGCATAATTACCTTTTGCTGGTGTCCAAGAAGTAACTTCATATTCTGGCATTTGTGGTTTGAGACTTTGTCAGGAGGAATCCCAATAGAACCATCACCGCAACTGCAAAGCCAAATAAACCAGCATAAATAGTTTGAAACAGAAATCTGAAGAGATGTGCAATACCAGAGTTCATACTTTTGGGATGTATTAATTTATGGGATGAAAGGAGTATTACGCAAATTTATTCCAATTTTGGTCCATCACTATAGTGGCATCCCCACCTACTGTATTCAACTTTTATTTTACTTTTTGTACTTGACTTTAAAATGTGTTCCACTTTTGATCATTCCGACGAGATATTTGGCATGCCACAGAAATACTATCAGAAGGACCAAAAGTGGAACATCTTTTGAAGTCAAACATTAAAAGTGGAAAAAATCAAAAGCCGAATACCATAATTGGAAATGTTATCACCATGAAAGCTCACCTGACCCAACAAAAGCAACAAACATCAGGATCACATTCTCTTCCAGATGCATAGCATGGACAATAATTGGTTGCACACTCATTTTTGGTACAGTGACAACCTTGAAATCATATCTTGCAATTCAATGGGCATCTAGGCAATAGAAAAAGAAGGCAATTGCACACCATCAGTTAACACTAATAAAGATACTGGATGAACTTGAAAAGAAACACAAACACAAAAGGAAGCAAAAGAGGATGGGGGACAGGAGAACAAAAAATGTGTTGCTTGGGTTATGGATTTAAAGGACTAATCCACCTCAGATTCCAATAATTGTTCAAATTAAAAAATGGGCAGTAGTCACCTACCCACAGAATTTTTCACAGTAGATTGATTTTACAACACAAGGACACTTCTTTCCACAGTGAGGTTAACAATTACACGGAGTATAGTGTGCACAAAGTTCCTCCCTCACACGTATTTGCTTCAGAATAATAAGATCCTGTGAGCATCCATGCAATTGACAATTAAAGACCTACAACCAGATGGAAAAGAACTAGATTTAGGATAAAGAAATCATCACTTTCCACTATGCAAGTAAAGAAATCATCAATATTTGTTGCTTACAAAACATCGCTGGCAAAATAAATTGTCAAATGAACTCAGAGCTGCATCAAGATCTTCGTCTAAATATGAATTTATGGTGACTTCAGTGTTTTCATTCTTAGAAGTAGCCCCTTCCTTGATGAGATCTTTATATCTTGCCTGTATAAGATGTTTGATGTAGTTTATATCTGTAATTCTGGCAATAAATCAAATGGAGAAAATAAAAACAGGAGGACTAAAGTTCTCAACGTGACCAGTTTTTATTAGACAAGGACTACAGAGTAAGAAAACATTACAAAATCAAGAAGAAAAAGTTTATACCTTTACTTCACTAGGTTTTCTAGAGAAATGATTGGCCAACAAATCCAACACCATATCATACAATCCAACCTTTTCAATAGTCATCCTAGTGAATCAAAAGGATAAGAGCAAGAAATAATTATTATGACACTGTTTAATGTATGATAGATACATGGTGTTGTATGTCTACTCCTGGCATGGCAATAAAGCATGCTCAGATGCTTGTTTATGTCAAGCAAAATGCTGTTATTTTTTACATGGAGAAAGTTCATACAAAGTCTTTAATGAGAAGAAAATACCATACAAAGTATTTGCTAAGGCAGAAGCAGAAAATATATCTAGGGGTATAGATCGAGTTCTGTAACATTTCAAGCACATAATTAAACAAACCGCAGAATATAGTCTTCAGACTCTGCAAACTCATTTTCTCCTTCCTCTTCAATTATTTCTTCATCACTATCGCTGCAAATTAGGGCTTCACCACTATTCATATCATAATAGATTCTTCTGCGGCCTATCACTGATTGATCCTCAGGCATCTTTTGGTTTCTGAAAAATTCCCAGTAAGAGGGGTATTATTTCTCAGTCCAAAACGAAAGGCAATAACAAATTATTCAATAAAAAACCAGGCTCTCTCATGTGCTTTTCATGCAATAACAAAAAGGGATATAGAGTGCAATCATGGTTCAACTATGTTTTAAACAAACATGTATGCAAGTTACAAACCTATTGGGAAGGATCCATGGCTAACAGCTAACCAGTTTAAGGCCTTGACTGAAAAACTCTAAGTACACAACCAATATAGACAGGCATTATACCATCTCTTCTAACTCAAGCAAGCCTAGTAATGAATGACTACTACTAAATTACATCTACAGTTAAAAAGAACATATTTGTTTTAGCAAGGGGATATATCTTTTTCAGTGGAGCTAAATACATTCAAGATATAGGTGTTCAGATTGAAACACAAAAAAGCACCGCATATTATAACACACCTATGTAGAAAAGCCCATGTAGTGTATGGAGGTATTTTTTCCAATTTTGGGAGTTTAATGGGGCAAACAGCATTCTTGAGAACAATGCTGGATCGTAGATCTGAGGATGCATAACCATCTTCTTGAGAGCTACAGATTTTATTTCCACTGCCAGTACCAATGCTGTTTTGCAAATCAAAAGCATCCGTCT